GCATAGGCAAATATAGACCCAGTTTTATTGAAAGCAGTGGACAAAACAGTACCTGTTTACCTTCCTGGTCTTGCTCTATGGCTCAAGAGTCCTGGCGTAATAACTGACTGGTTACCGATGAATAGTTCCTTGGCTTTTACGATAGGGATTAAGTAACTATATGTGAATAAGTGTGATCGATTATACACAGCATAGCTAAGATGAATGGTACAACTCATTTCTTTTGCTCAGTCCCCTTGGGCCACCTTCTTGCTGGCTTTATCTCATCTGGCATGTACCCCGGCACTTTAATCCCCCAATTTCTCTCCAAACTCAACTGCACATCTCTCATATCAACCTTGTCCAATTTACGATGTTTGGCCAAGTTACAAGAAAATCCCATCACACTAGACACAAATTCATCAGCCAAGTCCAAAAATAACTCCTCAACATCGTTATCAATAGTTGGCTTGGTGTCACCTTGATCCACTGATAGGTTTGTAACTAGTTCGTTTAATTTCCGCTTGGTGAGGACTCGGCCACCGTTATCGGGGATGTTTACTGGAGCGACCGCCTGCAGGTTATTACTAAATTCTTTAAGTGAGTTGACGAGAGTTGCTGAGGATGTGGTGTTTGCCACGGTGGTGGAGCTGGTGGAAGCCTGTGGTTTCTTTGTGGATGTTGACGCCTTGGTTGTGGTTGATGGCTTTGACACTGTGGGTGGTTTTGTTGATGAGGGCGATGTAGATGGTTTCGTTTCGTTTGTCGCTGGTGAAGGCAATTTCTTGTTGGTTGCTGCAGCGGTAGTTAAGGCAGGCGCAGGTGGCGGAGGCGTTTGATTTGTCAGGATCGGCTGCTGACTAGGGGTTGTGATATTTGTAGGTACGTTGGTTATAGTCCTCTCATTTACCGACGCTTGTGGCTGACTAGTTGATGCAGATCCGTCCGCAGCCACAGCAGTCATCGCCGTCGTCCCCGCCGAGGTAGCAGTTGGAGGACGTGGACTCGGTACTGGAGTGGAATTCGCTGTTAGTCTTCCAGAATCCATCAATACTTTTCTCATGTACAATGCCCCTTTGTGGTATTGCTGCAACTGAATACGACTTTCGGTTAATGTTCGTTCAAGAGCCTGTATCCTTGCAGGATCAGTCTCTTTTTCCTTTACCGCTGTCAAAGATTGTACTTTTTCTGCCAAATCTTTCAAAACACTCTTGACTTGATTGTACTTTTCAATTGTAATCTTTTGTGCATCTGGAGAACTTGAGCTTGGTCTTTGAGGTGCCGGTGATTGAATTTGCGGTGCCTGACTACTCCTCACTGCACTATCACTTGTTATTTGCTGTTGATTTGTGGGGGGTAGTTGCTGAGTAGGTACTGCCGTAGATGTTGAAGGAGAGCCAGCAATGGGTGCTAGATTCGACGACGGTTGGGCATTGACTACCTGTCCAGGCAGAACTTTGCTTTGCTGTGTTTGCGACTGGCTTGCAGCCGTAATGTTTCCCAGCTCAATGGCCTGACGCTGTTTCTGCTGGTCATGATAGATCTTCAACACTCTCTTGATCTTGTCCACTTTCGACAAATGTTCTTTAACCTTGATTGGGTCGGTTTCAATTTTGCTTGCATTGAATTCCTCATGCAACTTGTTCAACAAAACTTTCACCCTTTGTGGATTCAACTCGGCCTCGGGTGTGGGAGTTGAATTCTTGGGAATATTATGGCTGTTTGATCCCTCCATGGTTGTGGGAAGAGGTATGGTAAGCTTGTTGCGTTACAAAAGTTGCATTCTTTGTTCTTGTTGTTGTTGTTGTTGTTGCTGCTGTTGTTTTTTTTTTTCATTTAGAGGGTCGTGTGAGAGGGCGAAAACAATGAGGTTGAAGAAAGGATTATCTATGTACAATCATAAACAAACAGCTTTCTCGATAATTTGCACTATGTCGTCCTTATCCCCTGTTGCACCAACCTTTGATAACCGCGAATCCATATAACTATCTAATAACTTTCTTACTTGCTTGATTAGGACTCCATTTTTGCACCATGTTCGTACTGGAAGCCACTTGTCAAGGATGATACCATTGGAAGGAGAGCCGCTAGTGGGGTGTAAATCGTAGTCGAAACTTCCCCCAAAGAGCAAAGTAGTCAATGTGTTTGACGGGGTGATTCCATTAATGTACAACTTATTCGAGAAATGAGATGATCTGTAAGCAATGAATGTGTGTTTCGATGATGGGAGTGGTTTGTTAAGTGGAATAACTTGCCTAGCCTTGTCTAGGTCAATCGATCCATCTTCCCGAGTGAATTGTGACTCGAGTTCGTCGTCAATTTCAAATCCGGTGGAGTTTTTACCAAACATGATTGACGAAGGATGTATAAACACTCGAGTGGCAGCTAGTGGTGAATCTTGAACGTTGGGACTTTCCTTTTTCACCCAATACTTTGTTAATCGGGCGTCTGCGTCTGCCTCAATAGCTCCCTGTGACGACTTTAAAAACTTTTTTGGAGGGTATTGAACTCGAGCCACGTTTGGATAAAATGAACCAACGACAATAGCGCGGATCATGTTATAGTTTGGTTTTGCAATATTTTTTGGCACTGTTGGCAGTGTTGTGAACCCCATTTCGGACAACAACTGGTAGTATTGCTGTCTTGTTGACGAAATGTCACGAAGAGCATTGTACGATAAGCAATTCTCTGTCATGAACTTCTTGGTTGGGGAGTCCAAATAGGCAAAGTAGATATTTGCCATTGCAACAAAATCTCCCTGGTTATCACTGAAGCTCTCTGTGATGGTTTTGATCTTGTCTCTGTTTTCCATGGAATGGGCAAATATACTACCAACTGAACTTATAGCAGCCAAAGCTGAACAAAAGTCTAGGCATCCAAAAATACAGCCCAATAATAGAAGCTTTCCGGTATGGGGGTCCGTTGGTAAGTATGACAAGTACTGACCCAACGTTGTTAGTTTTTCGCCTTCAAGAGCGCCGACATCTTGTAAAAAGGTCTTTGCAGATAGCAACGCGGACTGGTCGGGGGAGTCAAGTCCACTGGCGATAAAATTTTCAACGTTTTTCACCCCCATTGACTTTACAATCAAGTACAAGTTTTCTAAACGGACGCGCATGATTTCAGGTATTGGCTGGAGAAGCATCGAGTTTTCAGTATCTTTAGTGTATAAATGGTAACAAGTACCATCAGTAACACGACCTGAACGACCTCTTCTTTGTTTGATCTCCGCTTGAGAACACCACTCCTCAACCAACTTGGTAGAGTTCAAAGTTGTGTCAAAAAACATCGACTTGGACCGACCGGAGTCAATGACAACCACACAATCAGGTATTGTAATTGAAGTCTCGGCTATATTTGTAGACACAACCACTTTCCTCTGCCCACGACTTGACTGGAAAACCTTTTTTTGTTCTTGTGATGATAGGGACGAGTGGAGGGGAAGAGTCCAGAAGTCGCCTAAACTGTTTATTGCCTTGATTGCACGGTTTATTTCTGGGACACCAGGCAAAAAAATCAATATCGACCCTGCATTTTCCCTCAGTGACAATTTCTTGTCGACATGTAACACTAGCTGTGCAAGTAAGTCATAGTTGATGTTTCCACTTTTGAAAAATGGAGAGTCGGCACGTGGCTTCACAACTTCTCCGCCTACCTCCATAGAATAGTCTAATTCGATTAAAATATCATCCAAGTAAAAATCCGTTATGGGGAAAGTTCTTCCCTCCACATGCTTATGAACCAATGGCTTCCTGAAAAACTCATTGAACTTGTCAACTTTTATGGTTGCAGACATGAGTACTACTCTCAATTTTGGGAATTTTTTCAATATATCCCTCAATATTATGAGTAGGAAGTCGCTGTCGACAGACCTTTCGTGTACCTCATCAATGAAAATATACCCAAGGTTATCGAAAATGGCATGATCTTCGTCTTTGGTGATGTTTTGGAGCATACGAAGTAAAATACCGGTGGTAAGGAAAGTTAGTCTCGTCGTTGGACCGATTTTGTTCTCGCCTCTGATCATGTACCCAGTTTCTTGGCCCAATTTGTCGCCTCTTTCTTCACTAATACGAGAAGCTAACCCAAGGGCAGATATACGTCTTGGTTGTGTACAAAAGACGGTTGTTGAAAAATCCCCTTTTGAATTCAAATCGTCAAGGATGTATTGGACAATCTGAGTCGACTTACCCGATCCTGTCTCACCTGTAATAAGCGTGATTTTGTTTTCATTTATAGCTTTTACAATCTCCAGCGCTTTTTTCGATACGGGAAGTTTTCCTCTTTCAATCAAGGATTCCTGTAATGTGGCTGCTCTATTTTGATATGAGAGCTTTATGTTATCCTCGTTTTGTCTCACCCTCCTTCTTGTTTTTGACTCCTTCTCAACCCCCACTGCTTCATTTGTTATTCTTGTGTCTTTTTGGTACGTCACAAGTGGTCCAGGATTGTTAATGACCTTGATCATGTTCTCCTCTAGCCATTCAATTATCGAAAAAATCATGCACTCTCCAACGTGTAAAGTGTCTAGAAGACTTTTTACAATGGACAACTTTACATAATTGGCTAGGTTGTGTTTTTCTGCCACCACGAGTTGTATGCCGGGTATTTCATTAGGATAGTTGGTGCTCTTCATAATTTTCAAATCAATTACTCTTTCACCAACACCAATGGGGTTCAACGGGACTGAAATTATTCTTTTGTCTAAAAGTGTTGCTTCTCTGGTAGACTTTATAGCCTCAACCTCTTGATCCCAAATATCCTGGCTTTGGTCTTCTACTGAAACTCCTTCCGCCTTGTTGGCTAGAAGTTTTGTAAGTTGAACAGCCGTTTCAACTTCATCCTCGCCGGTCTCTTTGTAAACACGCACAATTTCATCCTCATCAAATCCAGAATTTCTGAGTCTCTTCAAAACCAACTCTGTTTTCAAGTTTTGTGAAACTGTAAGCAGGACTTGGGAGTCCTTACTTGACTTGGCAAAAAGCACTGGCAAGTCGTCTTCAGGAATATGAAAAATCAACCACTCAAGAGCATCAACAAATTCAGACGTGTATTGAAGAGCCTCTTTTACGTGGCTCTCTCGAAATCCCAATCCAGCCAATTTCTTCACAACTGTGTCCAGCTGATTTACTTCTTTCCTATGTTCCACGCTGTCCCATTCTAAGTGTTTCTGTACCGACTTTTCGATTTCAACTCGCATATCAGAAGGAATATCCATCAATGGAGCATGTTCCCATGCGCCTCTAGGTATGGAGTCCTTTGGGGATGGCAGTGCAACTGGCGAGGCTGATTTTTGTCCAATGTTCACAACGGGCTTGTGGGTCCTTAAGTTCTGGTTCTGTCTTGCAGTGTGCTCTTTCTCTTTCTCAGCTTTTGCTTTTTGTTGCTCCATGACAACAGAGAAGGGATCGGTATTGTATTTCTTGTCATGAAGTGTTTTATCGTCTTTCAATAATTGTAATCTCTCGCTTTCCAACTCTGTCCAATAATCTCTGAAGATTATCGGGAGCAACATCTTCATGTTTTTGATGTAGTTGATTCTATGTAAAACAAACGTTGCAACCATGTGTCTGGCTTCATTACTGGTTTCTCTCGGAGAATAAGTAGGTATATACTTCACGGTAATGACTTCTCTTGTTTTCGGATTTTCCCAAGACAATGTCACCACTCCAACATAGCCGTTGGATTTCCTCATCATATCATATTGGCATTTGTTCCATTTTTGTTTTTGGCAGTGTTCATTTAGTAGAGTAACGGGTAGTTTGCCTGTCCATCCAAAATTTTCACCAACCACTAAACCACGAGACGGTTTCTTTCGATCTTCCGGTGGCGATTCTTTGCTTGTCTTTTTCTTCAGTGTTGGCTCTGCTACTGTAGTCTTGGGTTTGTTCTTAGCCATCTCCAAGGAGTTGTTCGTGAGTTTAGCGTATTTTTTTTATTTTTTTTTTTTTTCTTTTCATGCAAATTCCATTGAAAAATTATGCTGCGAAAGAGGTGAAAGGATGTGACAATTAGGCTTGGGTCGAATGACTTGTGTGAGAAGCTGTGGTCGTCTGTTTTGTATCCAGGACGTCAATTCGGAGTAGATTTTATTGAAAAGAGGAAATATTGTGATACTATGCTTTGCCATTGGCACTGTTTTGACTAAGAATGACAACCACAGAAAATCTATGTTGAATACACACATATCAAAGAGCCAAGTGGTATTACTGCTTAACATGAGATAATGTTAGACCCGAAAACGCTTCGACGGAAGCACGAGAGTTCAAAAATGATAGTTCTGAACTGACTCGAAAAAAAAAATGTGAGATAGACAGGACTCGAACCTGCGACCGTTGGATAGTTCACGTACATGATTGGAATCCAAAACTCTACCAGCTGAGCTACTACCCCTTTTACACAGAACTTGGCCGTGTTTTAATGTTTATATTATGCAAAGTATTAGGAGAATTTGAAAAGTTGTATGTCCTTTATTCACAGATTGATCTCAGAGAAGCTATTTATTGCTTCTCTGATATTGATGGTGTATTTGGATAAACACTCACAAATTGAAAACATCGGGAGCTATTTGCAGATCTATTGTAGCAAATGTACAAAGTATGAAGAAAGACTTAATTGAATACACACATTCTGACTCCGACATCTACACCGTGTTTCTCTACTTTATAATGCTAGAGATTTTGGCTTACTTGTCCAATATCCAAGACTTTTTTAAGGAAATTACATTACACATCATATTGCAACCGTTCCCTTCTCGTCCATTTAAACGGGAAGGAGAGAAATTGGTGGGTTGTAAGATTTTATGGGGAAAACAAAGTGTCAAGTCAAAGATTGCTTAGAGTACTCATTCTCTTTTTCTATGGAAATAGCAACTCAATTTGGAGCCTGGATTTTTTTTTTTGCAACAAAATCAACACAAATTTTAATCTTTAGTACAAACACAATGGAAAGTTGTTACCCAAAATTGATAAGTTGATAATCATCACAGAGATGTTTGACTTTTAGGAATTTTTAGATTGCAAGAACTGTCGAAATTTTGATCTCGATACACTCCATTAAGGTCACTACTCGGCAACCAGTTAATGACAAACAAGGGGACTTAGATAATCTCTGAAATGTAACACAGTACGAATACGTGTCTGCAGGTGGCTAATGCCTTGAAGTGCAATGACAGTCTACAGCACAGTGGTTTAAATCGGCTGGTAACGCATACCCAAAAGCCGCAACACAAAAACAAAAATAGCTCAAAATTAGAGTTGCTGCAGAATACCAGAAATTCTAAATTTACGAAGTGTTTGCGATGGTAGACAATAGGGTTAAATGGTCGCAACGGCCGTGACATGTAACGGTGGAGACCAAAGGAGACGAAGGAAGGCAACACTTGTCGAGAACGCTTAGAGATTGTTACTGAATAGGCGACAGTTGATGATTGAGATTCATGATCGTGTCCACGTACAGTCTGTGTTGGCTAAAGAAGATGCTACGGAGAATCATGGGAGGATACCAATATCAATCGTGCAGAAAAAGATTGGAGTCGTGTTGTAAAATTCAAGAACATGTTCTTGCTTTTATTTATTGGCATTGGGATTTGTTGGTGGAGGAATTCTTTTTATCACTGAATAGTGTTTATCAGTGCTACAAGCTGTGCTCTCTATTAATCTTAGGTATGAGTCTACTGTATGGGAACGCTCCCCTCGACACCGTGTTTACACTTTTCATTTACTCCAGTAATTCTTGGACAGTACATGCGACACGGCAGCCCAACCATTTCTGATCAAGCTTGGAAGTGGCAGGCCACCATTCCTTCTCATTATGCGAGCCAGTCACAATCAGACCACAAATGCACTTGCTACATGAAATAGGAGCTAAATACACGGCATTGTTATTGTCAGTTAATTGCCGAAAATATATGTCTTTGTGATACACCATAGTCGGCTAAAAAAAGGTTTGCCTAAAGTCTGAAAAGTAGAGCTTATTAAGGCTTATTTCCGAGAGCTTTGAAGCGCCTATTACCGATGGAGGTCACCACCATAGAATAGTCGACACATTGTACACCTTCAAATACACACCCTACAATAGGCCTTTTCCATTCACATTGGTTGAACTCATTAAAATCACACGTAAATCTATAAACACCTGAATGTAGAAGTAAAATAACACAATAGAACAAGAAAAAAAATCCTCGATAAACGGATTACAAAAAATAAAAGCAAACTTGGGGTAGCAGTATCCAACATGTCCCAGCACTTGAACAGAGCCTAAATTGCAAACGGCTAGTCCACTATCTTTCCCCAAAAAATGGCTTGTTATTCATAAACGAGTCTTCGTAAGCACCAATCAAAACTTCAAATGCTCCAGGGCCATGCATACTTAGTGGACCCCGGCAAATCTCACTGTAAAAACCTTCGTCTATTGCTGTATCCGACTGATCATTCGTCGTGGGAGATAAGTCGAATGAAGGCTGCAGTGGTACTCCTTCACCAATTGCATCGTAATACTTGTCAAGCTCTGTGGGCCCATTAGCAAGTGGTGTGATTGCAGATAAAGACTGTGATCCGGGTGGCATGTGATTCACTGTACCTGTAGGAGAGGCCTCGGAGCTGCTGCTTCTCTTGTTAAGTTCAAGCGATGTCTGACGAGTATGATGAGACGATTTGTGGTTGTGATGGTGACTGAATATACAGCCTTTCAATTTGTTGTGTTGAGTTTGTGAAAGCGTTGAGGAGGACCTCCGAAGAGCGGACTTTGCAGTGGCGCTATTGGGGGTGAAGATTGATGATGGCGGGGTGGACGAAGACAAAGAATTTGGCGCTGAAGACAAAGTGTGTGCTTCGTACTTATTATTCAACGATGTGACCGAAGAGTTTTTGCTTATTGATTGATTGCGGTAGTTTGTGTTGGAGAACAATGAAGCAGTAAGGGGAATGTGGCTGTGGCCATCGTATTCGACGCTTCGTTGACGCTTCTGTTCTTGGGTTTCGTGAATGGACTGTGGTGAATCACTCTCTACCTCAGACAACAATGGATCATTTGACATCCAACGCTCATCGTTATTGAAGTTGAAGTTACTTGAAAAGCTACGCACTGAAGCAGGAGACACCGGCTCCTCCTTGATCTTTTTCGTTACAAGGGACTTTGCTGATGAGGCTGAGTTTGATCTATTGATCAGTTTCATAGCTGGCGAGGAATGTCTTTCTAGTGAATTGGCTTCATTCATTGCAAGCTTTTCTGACTTGTGTTCAGCAAATGACTTTGAAGCAGATTGCAAGTTGTCTCCATTGTAATTAGCAGCAATAAATGCACCTTCTTCCCATTCAATTGGCACGTTCTTCAACATTCCACGCTGATCAATCAAATACGACACAACCTTGTTGATGGGAATGGTGCCTGCTATTCCAGATTCTTCATTTGATTCTGGCGAGGATGCATCGTCATCAGGAGCCTCCGTCTTTATGTGTAGCTTCTCCTCTTCTTCCTTCACAATCTCATCAATAAAAGACAAGTGAGGTCTAGAAAACTCGATTAAAGTCTCAAACAGCTTTGACAAGATGTCCAACCTTGTTTCCAACAACTCGATGTATCCCGGTGGGTGGATCTTTTCCTTAACCCTCCTTTTCTCTGAAAACACACAGATCTTATTGTCAAGCAAGCACCGATTGCAAGGCTTTTTACCGTCACACTTGGTCTTCTTGATGCGACAAGAGTCGCAAGCCTTACCGACTCTCTTCTTTTTAACGGGACAGTGTTGTGGAATATTTGAGGATAGCATTCTCTCCGGCTAAACAAATAAAAAAAAAAAATAAAAAAAAAAGAAAAAAATAGGGTATCACGGGGTTAAGGGATTGGTAGACCCGAGTTATGAAGACACAACCGTATGATTTCAACTCAAATGGAAAACTCGTTTTCAAAGTGATGAAGTGAGTAGCCGTATTGTTTCAAGGACACTTTTTTTTTCACTGGTGATACTCCAGTGTATATTTATAGGTGTGGAGTTTGTTTTTCTTTGAAAGCCCGTGGTCTGTTATTTGCAGCGCTGGATGCGTTTGGTTATTGGTTTTGTGCACTTTTTGGATATAAAGTCGGTTATAAATTATTACTAATTATAAACCGCACACTCACAGACACTGTTAATGTAATTTAGTTTAGTTATCTAACCTCGTCTTGTACTTAGATATCCCTTTTTTTAAACACTGACGCAGAAAATATATTGGCTCAAGAATTTGGATGTGAATGACCCGATTTGTTTTAGGTTCGTGCAAATTACAAATAAACTAATCTCCGGTACAGACTTTAGAAGTGGTGGAGTTCCGAATTTGGACTAGTTTCGAATCTTGTTTTGAATTTTATTTTGTACTTTAGTGGTGGTGGTGGTATCTTTGAATTATTTGGTGAGATTTGTTGTTGGCTTTTGTCAATAGCAGTTGTAATATTAAGACACAAACTATGGCAAATTTCGTGGGTAACTTGACCAGTATTTATAACATTTTCAAACAACACTCTTCTTTGTACTTCCCTGTATTAAAGTCGCATAGCAATAGAAACCGAGTGTTACCAAAGTGGATTATTGTATGTACCACTCAATGTTGATTTCCTGTAGTGTGGTTTGAAGCTCTTCCAAAACTTCTTTTCATTCAGAAGTATATATGCAGAAGCTCTTCAATTGCCACTACTTTTGTGTAGAATAGTTTATGCGACAGCGTTTATTGTTAAACCACCACCATACTAGGCTCACGCAAATCCTGTATATATACATATAAGCCTTAGTAGCAATAAAAAACGTTCACACAGACTGCGCGTAAAAGTCGTGGTTAACGTATGATTAGATAATTTGTGGACTTCTCTCCGCTCTGTTGCATAATCTGCTTTTTACTTTTGATGACAGTTGAATTGCTAAGCAATTTAAATTTCGGCAGAGATTGAAAGACGATCTGCTCTAGAACCCAGAAACGAGGAACTTCTTGGCAATCAGAGCTACGAGGCGAGCTCGGTTTTTCTCTGTACTACTTGGTTTGTATCCGATCAGGCTACATAAATAGAGCGTTAATTGATTTGGGCGTGGGTGTGGATAAATGATAGTACCGTCCCTCTTCCTGCAAGCTCCAATTGTTTTCGCTCCTCTGATAAGTAGGGAGAGTTTTTCCCTTGAAATGCAGTAACCGCAAAGAGCTTTTTGGTGTTGCTACACAGAACTCGATATTCTCGATTGTTCTAGACTGAAAAGAAAACACCGTGACAATCCCAGATTTTGTGTACATTGGGTAATTCTTTAGTAATTGCGCATAACACAGCTTTACAATTCCAAATTAGACCTTTTCTCTTTGTCCACGATACTCAAGTATAGAGTTTCGCGCTGTTTAGTAATTACAACCTTTCATGATATTGACCGCAACGCAAGCAACCTTAAGCGAGACAAGAGTAACGTTATCACAGTCCGTGATTCTGCGGATATCTTCATTGTAAGCATAGCGTGATTTTTTTTTTTTCTTTTTCTGGTGCAGAGAGCTCAGTCCGGTCTGTTGCATTGGCACAGTTATGAGTTGCAACCATTGCATAATTAGGAAGCTCACGAAATTGTATCTCCTTTTTATACAGGGGACACAAACCAATAGTGAACACCTCAACCGGACGATAATTGTATAACACACACTCGGGACGTTGCAATTTTTCTCCACTTAAAGGGAGCCGATTTGCAACTCTATCTTGTACTACGCAGCCCACTCTCGTGAGAAAGCCCGTATAGGAAAGTTTGCAGTTTATTCTTGGCAAAGGTGCTATCTTCTCTACCTGCACAGTGTATTGGTTTTCTATTCCACATTTGCGTTCTCTTAATTGCAATTACGAACTTTTTCTTGGAGTGGAACTTCGCTGATTACACAAAGAGACGCTAATGGTGGGTGGCATCCTCCGAAATTCAGTCTCTCTTCCCTCCAAGTTTATTTCCAAGGAAAATCTTATTCTGATTGTGAAGTACTTCGTGCAGGATGCCACTGCCTCAATCAGGATACAGATTTCGTCTGAAGAAAAATACCTTGCTGGTAGGGGAGGAATCTCTCTAGAAGAAGTCATTGAGGCAAGAGGTTTTGCCACCATGATATGAGTTGCCTCTGCCTCTCTGCTATACTTCCTTGTTGAAAAGATTGGGCCCCACAGTTTTTGCTGCATTGTCTAAGCTTAGAATATCTCAAAATAAAACTCAGGCGTAACATGTTGCTGTCGTGTCCCTGTGACAACGCAACGTTTTTTAAACCTTTCTTACACAAAGCTCTAAGTGTCTGCACAGCGTTAGTTTGAATAAAGGAGGGAAAGAGTGAGCTACATTCCTTGCCAGGGTCTAATCAAGTTTAGTAAGTATAGTTGGAAGATCAACTAGCCAGGGTAGCCCACCGGAGACTACAACATCTTGCCTAAACTTAAAGTCCCGAAAAGAGATACCAATTAGAACGCAATCTTCAAAAACCCCTCATATACAGCAGAACGTTTTCACGTTTCAAGAATAGCACAATTCGGTTGTTATTGTTTCTCCCATCCTCTTTGAGCACAGGCAGAAAGGGTCATTTTATTGGAGCCGCTGTATATGCTCTGCCACTATGCACGCATTATAATAGCAATGCCGAACGCATATTGAACGAGGTGTACCCTTGACATGGGAAGGACAAAATTGTCATTGGTGCTTTGTAATTTGGAAGCCAGCCACGAGGCAAACATTCTTTCATGTTACAATCCAGCCAAACATGCAAATGCACAAAGCACAATTTGGTATGCCCACTTCCATATGTGTAATGGAATCTAAAAGGAGGACTAAATTGAAGATTACAAAACTCTTTTGTACTACAGAGAACAAAACTCATATCATCAGAATCGGAGAAGCAATCAAAGTATGTAAACTTATCCATTTACAATTTAAACGGAGATAAAGGATGCCGTGACACCACTTTTCTGGAAGTATCACAACACTAATGGATGCCATTAATGCACGGTCTATATTACAGCAGGAACACGTAATTTACTGGTGCGTGTGCAATCGATGCAGCTGGAATTCTTTTTTCACATTCAAGTCTTGCTCACTGATCCCGCATCTGTTCAAAGTCTCACTTCTCGTTGATAAGCTCTCAAACATACAGAAGACTTCCGTGCGTATGTTTTTCTGCACGATGTAGCGGCAATCGCTACTCTTAAGAGCAGGGTGTCGTTTTTGTTACCTGAAGGGAAGTTTTTCTATGACCTTTCTGTAACAACCGAGACAGAATTTCTGTGTTATTTTTGCTTGTACTTTGAGAAAACTGGGCGGGAGCAACTGACAACCAGTTACAATTGCAAACATTTTTCAAAAACGGATCAACTTTGTGTCAGTTTTGTATCACAGCACTTTTATTTGTTCTATCAATTAAAGTTTTTTGTGTGTATTCAAGGACTTGCCCACATAGGGAATATTGTATCAGATGGTTCTTTGGACAGTACAAGGGCAGACGCAATAAAAAAAAAGAACAAAACAAAACAAAACATTGCACTGTATCTGTGCAACGGATGTTTGAATAACGTGAAGGGAATTTTACACTGTTGAGTTTGTGAGACATTTACTTTTTTGGGGGCGTATTCCGGTATGTTATAGACATTTTGACATTACACATCTTTTGTGTACAAAGCGTTTTTAAGCGAACGAAATGTGACTACATTCCAGATACTTCTATGGCTGGCTGTTGGAGATACACAGGTTTGCATGCAAAAGGTATGAAGAGGGCTGGGTCGCAATTGGGCGGTATCAATTTGTGTGCATTGAAGACGTTGTGTAGGTCTGAGTAGCTGCCACGTTGGTGCAATTACTACAAGAAGCGAGTTTTAAAAACAGCTAGAAAAAAAAGCCTGAGCTGGGTAACCATAGAATGCAGTCTTCAATGAAAAGCTAAACATTTTAGACACTGGTTAACACAACTTCTCCTAAAACTGCACACACTCAGTGCTCCAATAAGGGGCCAACTTCTAGACACAACAAAGAAATATAGGCGTTTCTCGTAAATAAAAACTGACCAGTAAGCAGGCCATAGAGTTTTCTTCCACGTTTAGGAAACTTTTTCATTCCTGTACCTCCCAATATTGTGCACTCCAACTAGATAGTCTGTGCAAATTATTACAGACTTCAGTTTCCTCACCTCTATGCAGTATCAAGGTCTATTTCTTAGATTTTGACCCAGGTCTAGAACTGAATCACCTATATACAAAGCTTCTGAGGTTTTTGCCTACTTAAACTCCATTGTTCCCTCGGAAGTCGATTTTCAACCATAATACCACTTACCTAAATTTTAACACCACCTGCAGAGTCCATATAACTGTACCCTCGGAAATGGCATATTGTTTCTAGTTTTGTACCAAATGGTGTTATATTTATGTATGTAATGTGACTTCCGGTAAAGGAAACTTAATTGCTTGCACAAACTACCCCCGTAATTCATTATTAGTGGCCACAATTGATAATTTGTATGCAAGAGGTGTTAATTTAAAGGCTAATACAGTTTATGAATGTAGAAACACACCACTACACTGCTAAAAGCCAGAGTTTGCAGGGAAGTACGACGAAATTTGAAGCTGCTCACCTTGCGATTGAAGGTAAGCCTCCCCCTTTATCTTATACGTTAGTCACAAATGCAAGTCTCTTATTTTAGTTAATTACTCGCATCCTATTTTGTGTGGTTGTAACTTACTACTGAGATCAGTCTAGTTTTTGTTAAGGTTTCGCTTGGATCTGGTTGTCAACGCAACCAAAAAAAAAAAAAAAAAAAATGTGTGTGGTTGCAAAAGCTAGGAAGTGTACACACTTGATAGAAGATACAAGAAATTGGTACTTCTTGACAAGCTGACTACACAAAACATCAGTGTTTGAGCTCTCTTGAATGCCACAGCATTGCGGATGGCGCAGTGTGAAAGAATAAGCGCCACGCAGGTACCAAAAATTTAATGTGCAGGCGGGGAGTTTAATCCTCCCCCTCATTCTCTTTTCGAATAATTAATATGCGGATAGAGTAATTTGCAAAAATGATTCTTTCTTAAGGCACAAGTGTCTCCAAGGAGAGCACATGTCAAACGTTTGAGTTTACCGAGCGCACCGAGTAGTGAAGCCCTTTACTACTCAACACAAAGGTGTCCTTCTGAGTGCCTAGAAGCGTAGTGCAAGGAATGTTACATCAAGAAGACCCTTCATCAGAAATGATGACGATGCCAACTTTGATGTGCAAAGTTGTCGGAACAATGTGCGCGGAATTACTCTGATTACTAACGAGGGCATCTCCAGTTCACCACAAAAAATGAAGATCAAGTAAGTTACACTTCAAAGACGTTGCTTGCCTTACTTTCGGTTATAGACGCCTTCTCACAATTGATAATCTTTAGAGATTTGCGCGTAACTAAATTTGCGGTAGTTTTAATCTCTCGGAACTTGCAAAAATCAAATCTTGGTCGTGCATGACAAACAAAAAGCAACAAAACAAATACAGACGTGCTCCAAAGGCGAGAAAAGTTTATTTCTCGCGGAAGGAAATATGACCGCAGAAAAGAAGGCGAGCACAAAATGGAGCGGAAAAGTGTATGGCATTGATCACAGCAAAAATTTATATTGACCTTCTTGTCTTTGGTTGGACCGCGCGGTTTTATTTCACGGAATTGTCTCTGCACCTATGCAGTCAAATTGTATCTTTTACGCCGCCCCCCATTGTTCGTATATCCGGAGTGATTTCATCTCTCAGCTGTCATCAGCTTATCGTATGTTCACAAAAACTTTGACGAACATTTCGTACATTGCTTTGTGTGGCGGAACCTTTTCCAATAATCAAATGGGTGGACAGAAATATTCACGAATTGAATATAAAAAGGAGTGTGATCTCCATCTAGACAGATGCTTGTAGGACCAGAGATATCATTACCATATCTTTATACTGTTATTGCTGCAATTGCCGCCAAATAATGTCTTACATCAACACCACTGTTTTCACGTGCAACTTTTGCAGAGACCCACAAGATCCTGAACAAACCCCCGATGCAGTTCTATTGTTTATCAAGGTAGAAGTTGATGGAGAGGTCTTGAAGTTTCTACACGTTGCAAGTAAATGAGAAGGAGCTGGTTCATCAATGCTCTTCCTCTACGTCATCTCATGATTTTTCAATTCATCAATACCAACACCGTATCGTGACCCAGCTGGAATTGCAGGAACCTGGTGTTTTCTGCACTTTTATTTATAGATTTGTTTAGTTAAATTTTCAGTTATACAAGCCAGATGTCTAGAAACCTCAGTTTTTCCACTCAATGTAAAATGGGGGAGGGGGAAAAAAAAAACTACTTCTATGTGTGAAAAAAACACGTGTGTCTTGCAAGTAGATCTCAAGTTTACCATCTCGACTCAGACCAAATGGCTATTGCTCACTTTCCCTCGCTGCTAAGAGAAGTAGACTCAAAATGATGCAAAAAAAAAAAAAATAGAAAAAAAATATGTGAGATAGACAGGACTCGAACCTGCGACCGTTGGATAGTTCACGTACATGATTGGAATCCAAAACTCTACCAGCTGAGCTACTACCCCAAAAACTCAAAATTCTGAGGCTTAGAAAATATAGATCAAGATAAAGTATTACCCTTTTAGGAAACTCGGGACGGCTTTTCGTCTAGTTCTTCGTGTTGAGAACCGACGGATAAATGCAGCGGCGGGACTGAAGGGTCTCCTTAAAAAGCCAGAGGAGTTTGTCTGCTTCGGAAGAACATAAAGTTCCATGTTTGTGTTGATGAGAAGTTTGCGGACGTACTAGGAGACCCGGATACTTGGTATCAAGCTTTAACCAGCGATGATTCAAGGCATGGATAGAGCCACCGCGTCCTCCCCCCCCTTCCCCATTTTAGGCATATACCTCGTCTTGGCTATCAGTTGTGTACTGCCCTAGAGGCTCAAAATTCTTCTGTGCTCGAAAATTTCTTATCTATTAATTTAAATTGCTCGAGGCGAATTAATCTTGGCCCGTCGTTGTGAATTTCCTGATCTGGCGCAAAAAAACACAAAGATATCGAGAAGAAGAAAAAAAAAAAAAGAAAAAAAAAGCAAGATAGAGAACCATAAAAACCAACAGAAATGTTGCATTGCTCTTTTGCTTCAAAACAAAGAAAAAAACTCAATTCTAGTGAAGAAACATCCTTTTCTTCTAGTCTTCAAAGTCCCATTTCAACAATGGTCAGAGCAACAATCAAGTCTGGGACAATCAATATTTTAAACACCATCATAGGTGCCGGGATATTAACCATGCCATATGGTCTACGCGCCAATGGACTATTATTTGGATCCATTTTAATCCTTTGGTCAGCTTGCGCTTCAGCCTTTGGACTTTATTTGCAGAATAAAGTGGCCAGGTACACGGGGCAACGAGGGTCAGTGTCCTACTTTAGTCTTGCGCAAGTAACGTATCCCAAGTTGTCTATAGTATTTGATTCGGCAATTCTGATAAAGTGTTTTGGAGTTGGAGTTTCATATTTGGTGGTTATTGGCGATTTGATGCCCAAGATTATGGAAACTTTGGAAGTGCATTCTGATTCCATTTTCATGAATCGAAAATTTTGGATCTCGGCATTCATGGTGTGCATTGTGGCTCCATTATCGTATTTGAAGAAATTGAGTAGTTTGAAATACACCAGTATTATGGCATTATTTTCTGTTGGTTATTTGATTTTTTTGGTGGTGAGCAGCTACCTTGAGATTGCAGCTGGGATTGAAAAGGCACATGATGTTGATGTTGCAAAATTTCATCCTTTTCCTGCTAACCACATGGACTGGTACGGACCATTGAGCTGGAAACAGACATTGAGTTCATTTCCAATGTTTGTGTTTGCTTACACCTGTCACCAAAACATGTTTGCTATAATCAATGAATTGCAACCGGATGAGAAGGATGGCTCACAGACAAGACAGTCTAATTTGATTATTCGTAATTCAATTTTGACAGCATTGGCAAGTTATTTGATTGTCGCTATTTTCGGTTACTTGACATACGGTAATGAAGTTGAACCAAATATCATTGCAATGTATCCGCGTGATTCATTCAGCACATTGATCGGAAGATTGTGCATTGTTGTTATGGTAAGTTTGTCCTTCCCTTTACAGTGCCATCCTTGCAGAGGTTCCATTAACCATGTAATACATTTCATTAGCCAAGGTGTCGAATCAGCTAAACTCAGACACTTGCATAAACGTAATCGCTTGTTGAATGGCGATGGCGTTGGTAGTGGCTACTCATCGACGGCAGCTTCAGACGCAGAAAGTGTGAGCTCCTTTAATGATCTCACTGCGGTCTCTTCAATCATTTCAACAACCCCAATGGAAGGTGCCCGTGATACTGCTGGACATGCGCCAATTATTGTTCCCATGTCTACTCGAAAATTCTACATTATTACAACAGCCATTGTTGTGCTCAGTTATGTGGTTGCACTCTCGGTCACTTCATTGGCAACTGTGCTAGCATTTGTGGGAAGTACAGGCTCAACGTCGATTTCATTCATCTTGCCCGGGTTATTTGGCTATTTGTTGATGAAGCCATTGCACCCAGGAGCCAACCTTTCGCCTTTGGAAAAATTCTGCAAATACGGCGGGTTGTTCATGGTCATCTATGGATTCTTTGTAATGATTGTTTGTCTTGGTACCACCATAATCTTGAAATAAGAAGAGGGAGCGGCATTGTATAGACGCTAGTATGTAAGATCGTAACAAAATCCTCAACCAACAAAATCTCAGAAGAACAGGAAAAAAAAAAAAAAACAAACATTACGAATAGACCCGTAGTAACATCACCCATCAAATGTCTTTTTTAAACAGCTCTCCATCAACATCAAGCACATCTAGCACAGCTACAGGTCAAGAGCTAGTCAACGATATACTAGTCAACAATCCTCCTGAGGACTCAATTGAAGATATATCGTTCTCGCCTCAACAAGATCTCCTTGCTGTTGCTAGTTGGGATAAGAAAGTCCGTATTTACGAAATTGATCCTAATACCGGTAATAACCAAGGCAAGGCACTTTATGAACACAATGCTCCCGTGTTTTCTGCACGATGGTCGACTGATGGAACCAAAGTCGTGAGTGGTGGTGCAGATAATCAAGTCAAGATATTTGACCTTGCGACGCAACAACAACAGCAAATTGGTCAACATGATGCACCAGTGAGATCAGTGAGGTATGTGGAGTGTGGCCCCACCAACACGCCAGTGGTTGCTAGTGGGTCATGGGATAAAACGTTGAGGTATTGGGATATGAGATCACCAACTCCCGTTAGCACAATCAATCTTCCTGAGAGATGCTACTGCATGGATTCATCACAGAAGTTACTAGTTGTTGGATGTGCCGATAGACATATAACTATCATCGATTTGAATAATCCTCAACAAATTTTCAAAACTACTCAGTCGCCATTAAAGTGGCAAACAAGAACCGTCGCTTGCTATCCTCAAGCCAATGGGTTTGCAGTTGGGTCAATTGAAGGTAGATGTGCAATCCAATACATAACAGAAGCTGAACAGAAGAAGTTTGGCTTTTCATTCAAGTGTCATAGAAAGTCCGGCACAGGCTCCAATACTGGTGGATTATCACGAACTACAGCGACCAGTTCCAACGAATCACAAGCTTACCCAGTCAATGCTATCTCATTCCATCCCGTTTATGGTACATTTAGTACCGCTGGTTCAGATGGTACTTTTTGCTTCTGGGACAAAGATGCCAAGCAAAGATTAAAGCTGTTTCCAGAGTTGCCAGGTACTGTTTTGTCCACTGCTTTCAATAAAACTGGGTCTATATTTGCCTATGCTGTGAGTTATGACTGGTCGTTGGGGTACCAAGGCAATAGACCTGATTATCCTACGTTTATAAAACTCCATCCGACAAAAGATGTTGAAATAAAGCAAAAGAACAAACGGTGAATAGGGTAGTAAAAGTAGTGGCTAGATTTTGTATAGACAATGGACATCTGGAGCGACAGTAGGAACGCGGTTGTTTTGTAACTGGTGCAGCTTGTGCGAGACTGCGGTTGGGTGGAGTATTTTCGCATAGCCAATGATGTGCATGTTGGAAATGGCTTTTACAACTGTGTGGGTTGTATGAGATGAAAGCTGTACAATACGACCTTTGCTAGTATAAAGAAAAGGAGTCTGGCGCAATCTTTTGAACACGGCGTAGCAAAAGGGATGGCCACACACGAAAGCAACACCGTTTCCTCTCTCATACCAAGTCCTCGGTTAAATGCATCAGTCTGGGGTGTTTTCAACTTCAGCAAACAATTGTGACATTTTTCAGACCCCGTTTGTTTCCGAATTCTGCCGTAGTATCCCCACAATTATTTATGTTTCCTTAAATCCCCGAGAGACAACAATACGGCAGTTGCAAAAAAAAAAAAGAAAAAAAAAAAAGAAAAAAAGAAAAAAGGAACAAAGGAACAAAAGAACAAAAAAAAAAACAGAGTTACCATAGAACAGAGAGATCACACGGACTAACCAAAAAGCACTAAACATTATCTCTCTTTTGCTACATACGCCTTGTGTTTATGGGGCATCGGTGCATTCCCAATCGGTAGGTTCATAAGCATCAGGCTGATCAACCAACACCATTTCCTCTGGGGTCAATTCGAAATCGTTGACATCCAAGTTTGTTTTCAATCTTGACGGAGTTTTGGTCTTGGGCAATGGGATATAGCCCTTTTGCAACGACCATTTGATCAAGATTTGAGCTGGGGATTTGTTGTACTTTTTCGTAATCTCTTGAAAGTTGCGACTGTCTTCTTGCAACTTGTAGCCGTGGGTTAACGGAGCATAAGCTTCAACGTGAATGTCTTTGCTCAAACACCACAGAGCCAAATCTTGACGCATACACCAGGGACTAATTTCAATTTGATTTATAGCTGGTGGAGTTTCAATGGAAGGATCCTTGAGGATTTCTTCAATGTGGTGTTGTCCATAATTTGACACACCAATGTTTTTCACTTTGCCCTGTTTCAAAGCTTGTTCCATGACTCTATAGCTTTCCAATCTCTTCTCTTTACCCGGCAAAGGCGAATGAATCAACAACAAGTCAATGTATTTCAATGGCCCAATCTGTTGCATCATGGTGTCTATGGCCCTTTCAGTGTTTGCTTTACCCAATTGACTATTCCATAATTTGGTGGTGTAGAAAACATCAGAGCGTTTGACTTCAGGATGGTCTTTCAAGTATTTGGCAATACCATCAATGACTTCCTGTTCATTGCCGTAAAGCACCGCAGTGTCAAAGTGACGATATCCAACGTCCAATGCTTCATAAACAATTTTGCTTGTTTGTGATCTGGGGATATCGTAGCACCCCAACCCAATTGAGGGGATTTTGTTGCCACTGTTTAATTGGATTAGTTTGTAAGACATAGTTGGTGTGCTTTACTGTACTTGAGGGAGGGTATTTAAGACGTTACCATGGCAAAGTGCATGCCTTCAGCGTTTTATATAATAATTCTCTCCTTCTTCTTGTCAGATGACTTTTGATTGCTGTCAAAGGATAAGAGACAAATAATAATTATCGAGGGAACAAAGGGGAAAAAAAAAAGTCGGCGTAACCGTCGCATACGCTGGGAAGTAGTAACTGCTACGACTACTGCTACACAATTGACGTAATTAAGCATAATATTCTCTTATCGTAGGAATTCCGTCTTTTGCACATCCTGCATGATGTGAAAGTAAACTAAGGGACGTAAGACGGGTTGTGGTGCGTGTCAAACTACAAAGGCGTAAAACCAAAACCAGTGAGGTTTTATTTGCAATAATATAAATCGCGTTTCGTCGTTCTGGAAGGTTCGAATTGCATGTGACGTGCTCAGAGGGGAGGAATGTAGGTGGAATTATTTAGTTATAAGCGGAGGTGGAAACTACTGATCCGACAAATTAACTTAAAAAGTCCAACATATATCAAGAGGTTGAAGCATGGGCCGATCCAGTCCTTATAGAGTGACGTGACTCAATGGTGACAGAGGCAGTTGTCCAACTAGTCTCTAGTGTTCTGTACGCACAAAGTAAACGTCCATGAAACATCTAGAGTTAGTGCTACATTGCACTTAAAGTCCGATGAAAAATTCAAATGATTGCAATGGACGAGTAAGACCCGGCGGTAAATGACCCTCCTGGGAAAGGACGTGTACCCGAATACAAAAAGCAACACAGTTTGTACTGTATGAGTTGCTGCTACCATGTGATATTAAGTAACACAAAACCATTCTTTTTGTCTTTTAATTCGTCACGTTGACCCGAGTGCAAATTTGCCTTTGTCTCCTTCAAAACTTTTATTCTTCATTCATTTATATAAATATCAATTGAAATTTCTCAACAAAATTTTAAATTCCCTTCAATTGGGTTTTCTTCTTTTTGATCAATTCAATTGAGTTTTGTTTATTTTACTTAACAGAATTAACTAATCACACACAATGGCTATTAAAGTTGGTATTAACGGTTTCGGAAGAATTGGACGTATTGTCTTGAGAATTGCATTGCAAAGAAAGGACATTGAAGTTATCGCTGTCAATGATCCATTCATTGCTCCAGACTATGCTGCTTACATGTTCAAGTACGACTCTACCCACGGAAGATACAAGGGTGAAGTCAAGTCTGAAGGTGACAACTTGATCATTGATGGTCACAAGATTAAGGTTCACGGTGAGAAGGACCCAGCCTCAATTCCATGGGGTAAAGACGGTGTTGACTATGTCATTGAATCTACTGGTGTTTTCACCACTCTCGAAGGTGCCCGTAAACATCTTGAAGGTGGTGCCAAGAAGGTTGTTATCACTGCTCCATCTAAAGATGGTCCAATGTATGTTGTTGGTGTCAATGATGACAAACTTAACAAGGACGAAGATGTCATTTCCAACGCTTCATGTACCACCAACTGTTTGGCCCCATTGGCTAAAGTCATCAACGACAAGTTTGGTATTGAAGATGGTTTGATGACCACTGTCCACTCCATCACTGCTACTCAAAAGACTGTTGATGGTCCATCCCACAAGGACTGGAGAGGTGGTAGAACTGCTTCTGGTAACATTATCCCATCCTCCACTGGTGCTGCCAAGGCTGTCGGTAAGGTTATCCCAGAATTGAACGGTAAGTTGACTGGTATGTCATTGAGAGTCCCAACTGTTGACGTCTCTGTTGTTGACTTGACCGTCAACTTGAAGAAGGCTACTTCATACGAAGAAATCTCCAAGACCATCAAGGAAGCTGCCGAAGGTCCATTGAAGGGAATCTTGGGCTACACTGAAGATGCTGTTGTCTCCACTGATTTCTTGGGTTCTTCATACTCCTCAATCTTTGACGAAAAAGCTGGTATCTTGTTGACCCCAACTTTTGTCAAGTTGATTGCTTGGTACGATAACGAATTTGGTTACTCCACCAGAGTCGTTGACTTGTTGGAGAGATTTGCCAAGGTCAATGGAAATTAACTATCCGTGAAATTGTAACGGAGGCGACAACTATATAGCTAGCTAAATAGGGTGTTTTTTTTTGTTTTTATTCATATCGCCGAAGTTACATAGTAAATGTATGGTTTTTCTTTTTCTGTGAGAAAAACAAAACTGAGATTGTAGGAGTTCTGGTTGCTCTGTTTCCTATACGACATGGAACAAGTTGCCAAGTATTTGAATGGAGGTACATTCAAACTATACAGAGCTAGTGGAATACCGTTTACAGATAGATTACCGAAGAAACACAGGGAGACCATTGTTACTGAATTGGCAAAGTACTTGTACCAAATATATAAACAGAACTTATCCAGCTATGAGGAAGATGTTATACTTCGATACAGTTCTTATCGAGACATTGCAAATGAGATTATCACAATCAGTGGATCAGTCGACGAATTGAGGTATTTGGTCATCAAGTCGAGGAATAGTCGGCTCTTACCAAGACAGACATTTGTGTTTTCAAAGTTGGAAAACAACAACGACACCTTATTGTTCAGTAGAGTTACATCCAAGCCCGAAGTCAATGATTATCTACTAAAGCTACTACAAGTTCAGATTGACTTGATACTCATTGAATATGGTGCTTTCCCATTGCACTTGATTCCATCGATGATCAATAAGCTTCTGACGCGTTTCCATAGTGATTTACGACTAGTATACGAGACCCCACAATTATCTGGTTTACTAAACAGCATCCAAATCGAAGTGCCATATACTGATGTAAAAGAATTGCGACATAGATCTGGTTCAGATAAGTTGTATGCCAATATTAGTCGATTCATGTACGAATGTACCAAGATCAAATTTGACAAATCGAAGATAAAAAAGTTTGCATCAGATGTCGTCAACTTGTCAAGTAATGGAAGAATTAACTTCCATGGGAAGAAAGAGGACGCTGACAATGAAGATGAGAAGGAAGAAACGGCGCTTATTATGGAGGTGATTATGCATATTCATTGGGTGCTTAATGAAGGCTGACATGTAGAAAGATTGTTGCATCAACCAGACAAATGAACTCCCCCACTTTGGAGTCTTCTTCATGTAGAGAATCCACTCGTGTATATCGGAATTGAAGCAAAAAATTTTTAAAGTTTTACATACGGCCAAGAAGATCTGTTGTAGTAGAACCTTTAGATATGATTGGGTATAAAGTTTTGTGTGTGCGTGTGTGTGTGCTTTCTCACTCTCTGTGTCTCAGTTAGTGGTTTGTTATTATTGACGTGTCTTGAATTTTAGAATTTTTATTTTATTTTATTTTATTTTATTTTTTTTTTTTCAATTCGTCCGTATTGTTTTCCTTAGACATTTTCCTCGAATCATAGCTAATTGCCCGACTTCATCTACCTAGGGGACTGAGAGAAAGAAGTTATTCTCATCTTACAGACACTCACGGACCAAAAATAGATCATTTAATTCCACCGGCAATGTCATCCTCTTCAGCTCAACCGCACGAGACGCTGGTGAATCCAACAAAACCACTACACAAGGACAATCTCTCTACAATTGATGCCAAATATGACACAGATGATGCTGAGCTCCTCAAGAGGTCCCAACATGACCAAGCACAAGAGACAATTGAATCATGGCAGAAATTGGAATCGATTTTGGCACCGCTTTTATTCACATTGTTGTCATTTTTCGTCCGATTTTATCGTATTTCCGTCAATGATAGTGTTGTTTGGGACGAAGCCCATTTCGGTAAGTTTGGGTCTTACTATTTACGTCACGAGTTTTATCACGATGTCCATCCACCATTGGGCAAAATGTTGGTTGGGTTGTCAGGGTACTTGGCTGGGTATAATGGGTCATGGGATTTCCCCAGTGGTGAGAAATATCCCGAGTATATCGACTATACCAAGATGAGATTGTTTAATGCTACGTTTTCTGCATTGTGTGTTCCTTTTGCGTATTTCACAATGAAGGAGATTGGGTTCTCCGTATGGACAACTTGGTTATTCACATTGATGGTTACTTTGGAAAGCTCGTATGTTACTTTGGGTAAGTTCATTTTGTTGGATTCGATGTTATTGTTTTTCACTGTGAGCACTGTCTTTTGTTTTGCTAGATTCAACAATTTCAACACAAGACAAAGGGAGTTTAGTAGGAAATGGTGGAAATGGTTGTTGTTGACTGGTGTTTCTATTGGATGTGTGTGCTCTGTTAAAATGGTGGGGTTGTTTGTCACGACATTGGTTGGAATTTACACTGTTGTTGATCTTTGGAATAAGTTGAATGACAGGTCAATCACGTGGGTTAAGTATGGGTATCATTGGGCTGCGAGAATTGTTGGATTGATTATCGTTCCAATCACAATTTTTTTGCTTTGTTTCAAAGTCCACTTTGATTTGTTGTACAGATCTGGTCCTGGTGACGCTAATATGTCGTCGTTATTCCAAGCTAATTTACTTGGATCCCAAGTTGGTGGCGGGCCAAGAGAAGTTAGCATGGTTCACTCGGTTGTCACTTTGAAAAGTCAAGGTTTGACTGGCGGATTGTTGCATTCGCATGTGCAAACATTCCCCGAAGGTTCGAAACAACAACAAGTGACCACTTATGGACACAAGGATTCCAACAATAATTGGATCTTCCAACGCCCTAGAGGACAACCAAATTACGATCCTAGTGGAAACACCACCGATATCGAGTACGTGTTTGATGGTATGCCAATTAGAATCATGCATCCACAAACAGGAAGAAATTTGCACACTCATGAAATCCCAGCCCCAGTTTCCAAGTCTGAATTGGAAGTTGCTTGTTATGGTAATTTAACCATTGGTGATGCCAAGGACAATTGGATTGTTGAAGTTGTGGATCAAGCTAGTAATGAAGACAAGATGAGATTGCATCCATTGACAACTTCGTTCAGATTGAAGAATGAAGTTATGGGTTGTTACTTGGGAGTTTCCGGAGCAACATTGCCACAATGGGGTTTCAGACAAGGTGAAGTTGTCTGTTTCAAGAACCCATTCAAGAAGGATAAGAGAACATGGTGGAATATTGAAGATCACAGAAATGAGCTTTTGCCTCCAGCACCAGAGGATTTCAAATTGCCCAAGACGAGGTTTATTCGTGATTTTATTCAGTTGAACTTGGCAATGATGGCTACAAACAATGCCCTTTTACCTGATCCTGATAAACAAGATGATTTGGCTTCGTCTTTCTGGCAATGGCCGACTTTGAACGTTGGTATCAGAATGTGTGGATGGGGAGCTGATAAACCCAAGTATTTCATGATTGGGTCTCCTGCAACCACATGGACATCCAGTATTGGTGTTGTGGTATTTGCTATAATCACATTGTACTATCTTATTAGATGGCAAAGACAGTATGTCGATTTCCCACCTGAGCAACCGGGTAGATTGCAGAAGTTTGTCATGGGTGGTATTTATCCAATGTTCGGTTGGGGTTTACATTTTATGCCATTTGTCATTATGGGTAGAGTCACATATGTGCATCATTACGTGCCCGCTTTATATTTCGCCATGATGGTGTTTTGTTTTGAAGTGGAATTGTGGACATCCAAATTGGTTAGAGAAAGATTTTCCAACTCTGGTCGTGGTGGTGGTGGTGGTGGTGGTGTTTCGCCAGTGAATAAAGTTGCATACGTTGCAATTTATTTGGCATTGTATTTTATTGTTGGTTTTACTTTTTACTACTTGAGGTATTTCTCATTTGGAATGGAAGGGCCAAAGGAGATTTGGAAACATGTTCAATGGATAAATTCATGGAGAGTTGCAGATGATAATTATACATAGGTTAGAGGATATTGGTCTTGTAGATTTTTGTGGTTTATAAGTATATGTGTGTGTATGTGTATTGAAAGAATTTTTAAATCAATCACCTTTTATGCGCACCAAAAATCAAACAAATTTCTGTGATTTTTCTTTTACTAAGCAACCCGTTAGATCGTCAACAATAATGAGTTTGAGACACTTAACAAGGACCAAACCACTATCCAGGAGCATTCTATATTCATTACAACCTTATATACTGCGTTTGAGCCCCATCAGATGGAACTCAAGTCCATCGTCGCCACCTTCATCTACTCCAAAAACCCTCAAACCATCATCGTTTGCATTCCCCACGGATCCACCAGCAGCACCAGCAGCACCAGCAGCACCAACTGCACCAAAGAAGCAACACGAGCACCACGAGCAACACGAGCACCAAGGAAGCACAACTAGCGCACCAGGACAAGTACTGGACGATTTCAAAGCCACCTCGCTCACACATGGCAAGACTGATAAAGTAATTGCCATAACTCCTCGCGCATGCGCTAAACTTCAATCAATCAAATTAGAGAACCCAAAAGACACAGCGTTGCAAATACAGGTGGAAAGTGGCGGATGTCATGGATTCCAATATAATCTCCATTTGATCAACTTGGACGAGTATCTAGCCGGTGACAAGAGTGATGATGTGTTTGTGTTTGAGCGGGATGGGGCCCATATCGCGCTTGACGACTCGAGTTTGACGATTTTGCAAGAGCTGAAGTTGGACTATACCAAGGAGTTGATTGGAAGTCAGTTCAAGATTGTGGATTCGCCGTATACTTCAACGGCATGTGGATGTGGTGCTTCTTTTGATTTTGACTTTGACAAGTTGGAACAGAATCAAAAACTGAGGGGGTAAGACTAGGTAGAGTGTATAGTTTGTTTATAGAGATACAGATGGGAGTTTAGTTTGAATAGAGTGAAGTTGCTTGACTTGTTTATAGTAATTTGTTACAAAGTTGTACATTTCTTTAATTAGCTAGTATTTCGTTAATCCCCTTGATGCTTTGAGTCGAGTAAAACCTCACATCGACATCATCATCAGATTCCAACTTTTCCAAATTGGACAATACTTGCAAATTTATCAACTTCTTCAATTCATCTTGGCTGGGGGCCTGGTTTCTATGCTGACATAAGGATTCCACAAGAGTTAAATACGATTTAGCAACGTTGAATCTGATGTTGGGTACTGAATCGGTGATTAGTCCATTTATGAATGGTAATACCTTGTCAACTAGGACAGGGTAATCGATCACGGGGATCAACGAGGTTATAGCAAATAAACAAGTGATTCGGATGATGAAATTGGAATAGTCAATCTTGTTGCTGGTGGAGTCATTGTCGTTGTCATTGTCGTCGGCATCGTCTTCGGCAACGTTGCCATCGTCACCATTACTATCCTTGTTGCCACCTGCATTCTCCTTTTGATTCAATAACCTGGCAATGATTTCTTGTGTTGCCCATTGTGACCCAAATATCACTGTTAAATTCTTCAAGTTTTCAACAGCTGCTTCTCTAATGGCAAACACTGGGTCCCATAACCAAGACATACACAACGACAACAATTCATTGTTGAAGAACGATTGGCCCAACTGATCAGCCAATTTGGGGATATGTTCAATAATGGCCAATCTTACTCTCCATTTGTGATCCTGTGCCAACTCAGTTATAGCAGGAAGCAAATTTGTTGACAAGAGATTGATTCCAATGGTTTCGTTGACCACGGACAAGTTGGAGATGATATTCAATCGAACGTCTGGGAACTCGTCTTTCAACATTGTCAAGAAAATGGGCAACAACTTGTCAATTGTTGGTTGTCTTGTTAAAATGGGGGATAATTCAGTAATTGTTGATGCTAATGACGCACGAACATTTTCTTGGGGATCTTGACTTAAGTCATTGACGACGGGGATGATCTTGTTTAGGATTGTGGCTTTAGTTGGTGGATACTCTGTGAGTAATTTTGCAAAACTTGGCAACTGCTTGGCAATGGCTTTTCGAACTTCTCCCTCGTGATCCTTCATCAACGAAATGAATGGGTCAATCAATTGGAATAAATCCAGTTCGTTATGAGTGAAATTGACGGCGATTTTGCTAAACCTATCAGCAGCAGTGTAACGAACTCTCCAACTATCATCTTTAATCAATTTCAATGCACTTGATAAGAAATCTGAATTGAAGCTATATTCATGAATCTTTTGGAAAAACTCCAAAATGGCAATCAAGACATCAACACTGAGGAATTTGACTGAATCTTGATCATCATTAATCAAATGTTGAAACATTTTCGATATAATTTCCCAATCTTCATTGTTTACCTTGTTGACATCATTAGGAGATTCCTCAGTGAATTGAGTCAACAAGTCAATCAAATGAGGCAAGTTCGTAGCTGCTGCTCGTCTAACCATGGGATAATCATCAGTGACCAATTTCAAATACGTACGCAACAATTCCTTTCTAGTATTTGCATCCACTCTAATAATAACTGCCTTGTATAACCCACACGAAGCTATTTTTTTCAGAAACCAATTACCTTGACTTAAACTTGTAATCAATCCCAAAAACACGTTGTTTATCTCATCCTGACTCAACTCATGACTGATTGTGTTTAACGAAGCAATGGCCTTGTCTCTAACGAGTGGTTCTTCCATTGATGCCAAAATCGTCAATATTTCAATCAATGGTTCACAATATTCGTGACCACCAATCAAGGGAACAAATTCACTCAACTTCGCACCCAATACGGTGAAGACTTCCTCCTCGTCATCTTGAGCAACATCATGCAAAAAGGGCAACAATTCCTTACGGGTTCTCTCAGGACCCAATGCTATGGCTATAGTGTCTAGTTTTTGCATTGCTTCGACTCTGTTGGAAACATCGTCGTGTTTCAATTCGTCCATCAATAACGCAAGTGGGTATAAATCGTCCATTTTTTTGTTGAATGATGAAATGTATGTGTGTGTGTGTGTGTGTGTGTGTGGTGTTGAGGTGGGTTAGTGCTGATAGGGTACGCGTGTATAACAAGAATGTAACTTAGTGGTTCTATGGGAAACTGGGTTAGTCAAATTTGATTAATAATCTTGTTCTTGAGATCTAGTGTGATTAGATATATGAGGTTGTGAGTTGGTTGGTTAGTTAGTTGTCAGTTTTGTTGATTTGTTGATTGTTGAAATTGACAATTTCTCTCTCTCTTTCTCTCGCTCTTTCTCTCACTCTTTATTAAATTTTTCTTTTCCCATTTGTTCACAGTGTCGCATTTATATTATTACTAATTTTACGTCATACACAACACTATTATGCACCACTGTTTTTAGCCTCCTTTACACGACTCTAAACTTTTATAGTCAACCAAACCTCCAACATGATGAATAAATGATTTTTCTCCTTCTTTCTTTTCAGCAACCCCAGTTTGGATTAGTTGTTGAACTATGTTGGGGAAACTACCGACGAATTTTCTGTAATAGCTCGTGAACCCCACAAAGCTTTGGAATCCTTTCTTTGTTATAAATCTTCTTGCAGCCCAGAAGAAGCTAATGCAATCTCACACCAACTCAGCTGCTTTATCTATCACGCGCTAACTACTCCTTAGGAGAAAAAGACTAGACGGATAGATAACGGCAGAAATTGGGAGTCACTTTGGAAACTCATCAAACATGAGCTGCATAGCTCAATCAGTTGATGGATTTACAAGGTGAATTCCTCTCACTTGGGTTAGTTCTGTGAATTGCTCCAAATCTTTAGCATTTGGATTTTTGAAACTGGGAGTATATGGAGTTTGCTCTATATGCTGCTAAGCTGAACGTGACCTTTGTTTGTCATAACTCGCTCATCGCATGCGAATACCCAACATATTTGATAGAAGCATGTAAACCTTGATGATCAAAGATGACAGTTCCATGGCACCGGTATTTAAAGGTGATGACCATGTTTTCCAACTCATTTGTTGTTGTTTTTTTTTATTATTTTTTGTTTAATATACGATGTTAATGTTTGTTATACTTGTTAAATGCCGTTGTAGACTGTGCTTCTCTTACTCTACAATTTCATCGAATGAAAGCGGCGTTCTTTTTGTGATGTGCTGCTGACACGAGAGCTTTGGTCAAGATTCAGTTACTTTTGCGTCTTAAAAGAGTGTAACTACTGGTTCTGGAAAGCCCTGGGTGCGTAATTCCCAGCAATTACATAATAGTGGATCAAACTTTTACGTATTACTGCTATCTTTTGTGAATATACGTGTCTTTCCATGGAGGTATAGTGATGGAATGTAGAATATTCGGTTAATTCACGCCTCCCTTAGAATAACAGCTCCCACAGGGAAATAAATTCAGCATGATCCAAACCAAGGACTCAAACAAATTGGGGACTGTGTGTGTGTGTGTGTGTGTGCGTGGGGTTATGAACAAACTACGGTTTCGGTTGAAGTGAGAAGGGTTGGCTGGATGGTGGGTGAGGGTCATAACGGAAATCACACAAAATCTCACTTTTTTGTATTGTTCAACAAATTTTCAACTTGCCAAAATCTTTCACCCCACGTTTTCTCTAACAAACGCCAGCCCAAGCTCCCACTGAATATGCCCGCTGCAGCACCTTCCCATTTAGACATCATAGATTCAAGGATTTCTCCTGAAGTTCGTGCGGCGTACAATGCAAAAGTTGCCCAATTTCAACGCAGCTCCAAATCGTACTGGGAATTTTCCATCGTGCCCAACAAGTTTGTCCAATCCTTGGATGAGACAGACGACACCACATTCAACTACCTTGATCAGCACTTTGGTAAAATTGGTGAATGGGATGATTTAGTTGCCGAGTTGCACAATTTGAATAAGCAGGCTGATAATGACACCCAATACAAGATTCTTTTCCTTGCCCGTCATTATACCGGGTATCACAACCTTGCTCATACTAAATATGGAGATGATGAATGGAACAACCACTGGTCGAAATTGAATGGCGATGATGAATATACATGGGGACCTGATGCTGAATTGACTCAAGAACTGATTGACTTAGCAAAGAGGAACAGTAAACTAGTAGCACAAGAATTGGAAAACAATCAGCATCGAAACAAGTTATTAATCACACCACAAAAGATGTATGTATCTCCATTGAGCCGGTCAATTGATACTTTGTATTATACCTGGGATCCAATTGTTAATTTACAACAATTGCATCCGTACGTTCAAGAAAACTGGCGTGAAACTACTGGTGTACACACATGTGATAAACGATCAACCAGATCAATAATCGCCAAGAAATATGAGAAGTTGGGGTTTGTTATCGAACCGGGATTCACAGAAAACGATGAATTGTATAAGGATGATTATCGAGAACTGTTTGATGAACAAGCATCAAGAATGAATGTGGCTTTGCAACAATTGTTTAGTGAGAACCATGGAAATGGTGTCGATATCGTGGGGATCACTTCTCATTCCGGTAGTATCAAGACCCAGTTGTTGGTGTTGAGTCATCGGCCCTTTGCCGTACAGACCGGTGGAATGATACCTGTTTTTGTTAAAGCTGTCAGAAAGAAAGGCGGAGAAGCCACAGGTGGTGAAGGTGGGAGAGGATGTGCTCTTTCGTAAAATGTAATAGAGCTAATAGACTGAAGAAGGACGACAAAAGTAGCTTGACTTTTGGGGTAAGCCGTAAGTGGCTAAAGTACTTGCTGAGGCGGTAACATGCATTTCCCCAGTGTATATGAGATGTTTAGCGGGTAAAAATTTTCTGAACCACGATGTGTTTTTCTCTAATACGAAAACTACACTCATCTCGTCTATACCTTCCCTCGTCAAACCCGGTTAGACTACACCAATGCATTGCGTTCAGAAAGCCCCTTTCATTTTTCTTAGGTGGCAATGAGAATTATGGGGTTCCCTCAAATATGTACGATCTTATTCATCTCTGTGCACGAGGGGATCGAAAAACAAAGTTAAGCGGAGACTCCGCGGTCCAGAAAACAAAAGGATAGTACAACAGACAAAAAAAAACAAAAATAAAACAACATAACGACGTGGACAATTGTATTGTTCGTGGCTACTCATATAAAAACAATAAAGATGGCAAACGGGGAGTTCAATAGGATGCTACGAGCACGGGAGGGAGATGGGCAACGGAGGAGGGGCAGAAGGCGGGGGTGTAAAAACGAAATGTACAGTTGCTTATTTGAAGTTGACACCTGTTTCTTTTCTGTTTCTTTTCTTTTCCTTCTTTTTTGTTAGCAACTTTTAGCAGTCTTTGCATAGACTTCAAAAATAAATAGGTATAGTCACATTTACATGAATAAGGTTGCAATTCAGTGGCTATGTTATTCTTGACGAAATTGCAATCAGTTTATGAATGACAGAAGTCAAGCGAGGTACGCGCTTGTATCTCTTCGATCCTTCCCCGTCCTCGGTACTATATATGCGATACTACAACAATCTCCATTAAAAGAAGAGAACAATAAAAATGCAAGTTTTCCTATTATTTTGTGGTTTCTGAAAAAAAAAAAGACTTCTGAGGTGGCACGTGTGCGGAATTGATCTTGGAACTTTTGAAGCAGAAGAAAAAAAAAAGAAAAGAAAAAAATTACTGTGGCTCTACCTTCATTACTGAACATGGCAAAAGATTTTGAACCAGCTCAGTTTATGACAGCAGAGCACAAATGCAACGGATGTATGCCGTGCAAAGTTGTTACTACTTGGAGAGGATATATCCTTTCTTGCGTAGAGCATCGGAAAATCAGTTTTTCCGCATGTAGTTTTTTGTTAAAAGTAACTGGAGTACTTGCCAAAGAGTAGCTTACTTGCCTATACAGCATTCAGATAAATGATCCAAGGTGGTAGAAGAGAGATGAGTCCTGCAATGAGCAACAAAGATGATTTCAGGTGGTATGGAAGGGCAAAAGCAGCTTGAATAGGGAGATAAATCGAAGTGTAGGTTGTTTTTAGAAATCTTTTGTTTTAGAAAGTGTTGCTTTCTTATTTCTCTGGGGTGCAATAATGGTCACACGACAATAACGAGTCATTAAGAGTCACACGACACTTAAGAGGTTGTTGAAAGCAGAACAATAAGGCCCAAAATTTCCCAATGTTTTTTTTCTTTTTCTTTTTTTTTTATCTTTTGTTTGGTGTGTGCTATTGTCTTTGTATTTCACCTTTTTTGGGTTTCTGGTGATTTGGCGGATTATTGTATTTTTGACTGCGAAAATGCCCAATCTTCACTCATTTTTTTTTTTATTTAAATTAGACTAATAACTACACAAACGTTAACGAAATCGTTTCTGTACAGCCTCTTTTCTTGTACAAGCAAGGATACGTTGGGAACTGTCTCAATGCTGAGTTTTGATTCTCTGAAATCTGCAAGAGTTGTTTCCTTTTGTGACTTACTCTCGCACCATTCTGTTACAGATTGACATTACAAGAATTATTTGACATCTTTGCCTCTTGAGATGTTCTGAAGTGAAGACTCGGCACTCCATTGCAAACGAGGTCAACTTTGTATTTCTCCTCACTTCAAGGAGGAGTTTGACCAGTCCCCCCTACTGCCCCTCCCCCCCTTCTCACCTTGAGGAAAATGAGTAAACTATTACTAAGGGAAAATGTTACATCAAGCTAAAAAAAAAAAGAAACCTTAAAAATCGATAAATGGTGAATACAAACCTTAAAATTGGTGTGGATGGGTTTGTGTGGCATGCTCTTTCTTGCAACCTAATCCAGAGTCAATGTAACGTGTTACTAGTGGTCTGTCTAACTTTTCTCTTCAAAGTTGATTCTATACGTTTATTTTTTCTTTTTTTACGTACAGTTAGGAAAGATGTTGTACGAGCAAAGAATATTATCTGCACAGAGAAGTACCGCTGAAACAAAATGGCGATAAGTCAAGCCGTTGAGATGAGACTGAACCGTTGGAAAAGCCGTTTGTTTAGGTAGATATGCATTAATTCCGCGCTTCTAGCACACCGTAGATAGTTTGTACTCCTCCGTTGTTTCAAAAGATTTGGTTTAAGCTTAGGCTCGTGAACCATGTGCAGATATTTTTAGCCATTTCAGCTCTTGTGACATATTATATATTTTTCATTCTGTTCACCTTACATACTGCATATATGCATATGCACAACCTCGTATATTGACTTTTCTGTGTCTGAGAGAGAAAGAAAGAAGACTAGAAAAAAGAGAAAGCTTATCAACAGTTTTTTGCCTCGGTTGAAATGTAGAGTAAAAAAATATAAAAAGAAACAAAAAAAATAAAGAGATAGTGACGTACAAGAGAGAGAAAAAAGGCCTTGCTATCACTTCTCACACACATGCTACAGCAGTCTTTTTGTTTCCTTCCTGCTCTGTAAATATCAATTTTAAACTTGGAGATTGTTTGTAGCTACATTGTGGTAGTGTAAGTTGACAAAATTCTAGGGAAAATCAATTTATTTTTATTTTTTATTTTTTATTTTTTTTTCTGACTATTACTTTTGGTGATAATAAATTAATTACTTATTTTTAGTGTTTCTGCTTTTAACTGTCTTGTGACCAGTTAACCAAAACAGAAGTAGAGTACGAGGAGAAGAAGGTTGGGTCTGGCGTACACAAAAATTCTATCTAGTTAAGCTTTGGACAATAAGAAAGCTAATAAAAGAATGCACAACGCTCTTCAAGAGAGGATCAAGTGCTCAACAGCGCTCTACTTGGCCATTCCCATGGGACATGGCTATCGTTGTTGAACCTTTATGCACGTTTATGTTTCTCCCACTTGACAGGTGATTTCCTGGGTTTTTTTTCTAGAATGTCGGCTCTTTGGTTTCGTTCTGTTGTTGCTATGTATTGTTTCAACTTGTTTTTGTGTAATTAGAAAAATTAGTTTCTGACCCTTGGTACACTACCTTATTGTCTCTTTTCTTGCATAATCAACTAAAAGCATCTCTGATCCAAAATTAACTAATAAACTCACAAAGCAGCCCCTTTTTGTATCCATTCAAAGTTCCTATTATCCACTGTCCATAGCGCCTTGGCCAACAAGAAACTGCCAACCACATTAACCTTTAAATATATATAACCACACTTTCCCTTCGTTGAACCCACATTTTTTTTTTTTTTTGGTTGAAAATCGCATAGTCTGTCTTTTCATTAGTTTCTTTGAAATTAGACGCCAGATTCCTTACATTTCTACCAACTTTTGCATATACTACATTGCAGATATCGTTTATCAACAAGAATACATATCGCATTAGATAGCATTTATAATATAGCAAAACAACACGCCATTTCTGTATCCACTGCTACCTGCAAAATATTACCGGCATCACAACCAAAGTTTAAAAGAGCTACTCTTTAGCTTCAACCCGGTGTTTCACATTCATATCTTTATTACCTTCTTGGGTTCACTTTGATAACCATTTTCTTTTTATGTTTCAACCGCTCTTCCAATAACCAATAAGCAGCACCATTCAAGTTTCTTTCCTTACACATAGATGAAATTTGGTAACAACTTGCAACATTTATCGGTACCAGACTGGAAAAGCTACAATATTGACTATAACGACTTGAAATACAAAATCAAGCAAATTACCAAACAAGACACTCAAGACCTCTCCCTGTTGAAGCATGCATTTGTTGAAAATGTCGATTATGTCAATTTGTTTATACAGACCAAGTATGGTGAGCTAAACCGGAAATTCTCGTTTCTTGAATCAATATTCAACAACCTACTACATATAAAAGATGCAATTAATGACTATGACTCGCTACGATCATTTCTCATAGAGATTGATGAACTCTTTTATCAAGCTATTGAATTGTCAATTGTTTTGAAAAACTTGTCCAAGTTCATCTTGATTCAGAAAATAGCCATCAAAAAGATCTTCAAGAAATTTCTCAAATACTATCAGTACAAGAAAGTGGGTACTAAATTTGTCTTAGACTTGAAGGACAATCATCTCATCAACAACCCTCAATCGCTTGTCAACTTTGATTTAACTCAGTTGACTTTGAAATTGACAAATTTGATCAACTTGATTAAATATGAACGGAAATTCGTCGAGTGTTTTAATGGAGACTTGCAACGCAAAAACTCCTTGTTTTCGTTGGCATCGTCAGTAAATACTACGTCTGACTATCAAACTTCGATATTGGCCAACAACAACAACTACAACCACAATACATCACAGACAATCCCCAACAAGAATGGAACTTTCACCACCACAACCAACTCATCACCAAATACTGCCATCACTACTGCAACAAACACCACTGCCAATTACTTCAACTCCAACCCACAGCAGATACCCACATCTCCAGAGGCGCAGTTTGATTTGACTGTACTACTAAAACGTAATTTCCAATGTCATTGCCTTATACCGAATGAGCTGACTAGTGACATCATCCTCAACTTGAATGTTTACTTGAGTTTGAAGTGTATTGAGGATAATCTTGTTTCAGTGATTTACTTGAATCAGGAATTGTTGAAAGATCCGGCACTAATATTGTCAAGTGGCACTTCTCAACGATCAATTATAATGGCTCCAACAGGTGGATTGAGGAAATACTCATATTGTATCTTGCCGAATGAGATTGTTGAAGTTTTCTTGTTACATTTGCAAGATAGGTCTAATGAAGAGTACAAGAGTCGGTTGTTTGACTACTTTCAAGAGTCTAGTCAGTTGACAAAAAAGACTATAAACTTCATTATTTCCAATGACTATTTACCAGTAACAAGAACATTTTGTCAACGCTCGAGGTTTAGAATTGATAAAATTAGCGGTGACGTCAATAAAAGTGATGGCATGTTCTCTGACCCAATTGCATCGTCTAGTCAACAGCAGTCGCATCCTTCGCAAATCGATGAAAACGATTACTATCTTGCGTTGGAAAGCAATATTTGCACCACCAACAAGCCCAAACACATCAACACCATAGCTTTTCCTGAAAATTACAACGATATGGACTGCTTTCCACATAGTCATCTTGGGATATCTTCCAATGACTTGAACTTGTCAGAATTTGAATCGTCATTAACGACTGAGGTTGATTCTCAAACAGGTGTTGTGAGAAATAGTTTTTCCTCATCATTTGCTCGTCGATTTCCCAAAAAACTACAAATGATTCTTCAAAACAATGCTGTATCGTTATACAAAGGATTCAACTTTTATCAATATCAGATATCCTGTTACTACAACATTGTACCCAATGGAGAATACATCAACAATCATTATTCAAACTTGCTCAATTTGAACTTGTTGAAAGAATTTGAGGATATTGACGCCTGCAGTCACCAGTTGAACCAAGAAGAGGATTTGATTCGAGCCAAGTCTGATGATATAATGAAGCATAAAATGTCGATGCAAAATCTTCAACAGCAGGATCAGGCTATTGAACAACAACAAAGGCAAGTGAAGAATATTCAGTCGAGATCACGCAACAACAACAACAACAACAACAACAACCAACAACTTCAAGATAGTTTTGGATCGAGTATATTTGACCATGCAAGACGTAACTCGGGAAGTGTGTCACCAAATGAAGTCAATTTGACTGACGATGTGGCCAATATTGAGGACACTGATGTATATGATCTACAAACTAACCAAGTCACCAAATTCCTAACTTCAATTTTCAACCTCAAGCAGAAATTTTTCCACAATGGGGGAGAGCCGGCCAAGAACAAGTCACAACACAAGCAAAGATCCATCCATGAAAACCCCTTTTACTTCTCCCACGATGAGGATGGTGACGAACATCAGCACTTGCTTGATCCATATACTAAATTACTTTCATTATACCACCACCAAGACGACATCAACAACTACTCAACCTACGATTCCATCAATGAAGAACCCATGTCCTTTTTCCAACGTAATGAACACCAATTGAAATTTGAATTCGACTACGATCAAACATTATCCTACATTTACTTCACCCTAACCATAATCTCCCTTTTCCTATGTGGAATCCAATTGGGAACCATATACTCCATCTTCACCAGTATTGACGATATCGAAGACTCCAAGTTCCTCATTAGAGATAACTTGGGAATTTTCATTGTGTTGGTGTTGGGAATGATCATTTCGGTGGGGTTCAATTTGTTGGCGGTGAACTTGATGTGGTTTAGGTATTCTACACCGGTGAGGTTTCATAAGTTTTCTGTGTTGGGAGCTTTGATTATCAACTTGATTGGATGTATATGGAGCTGTGTTTTGTTGTTGAATTGCTTTTGAAAAGAGAAAAAAAAAGGCACCCCACTTGCATTATATTCTTTTAGCATTGATTGATTTTATCTTTTATTTTTTTTCTGTATAACTATATACATTACCTTTTAATTCTACAGAGATTTGCATTTTGAAGGAGATTGTAGATGGAGAATGAGTGGGAGAAGGGGAGTTGGTACTTTAGTGAGAATCCATTGGCTAAAGTTGCCCAAAAAAAAAAATTGCAAAAAAGAAATCTCCCGGGGGCGAGTCGAACGCCCGATCCCAAGATTACAAAATCTGGAAATATTTACAGTCTTGTGCTTTAAACCAACTAAGCTACCAGGAGGATTTCGCGAGAAAAAGATGAAATTGCTGGACCAAAGAAATTGGTTTTAGTCACGTTTTACTAAGTTTTTAATTTTTTGACATATTTTGCAACCTAATGTCGTTTTTTGGATGCTTGGCCACAAGAGCGAGTTGTAAAGGATATATGTTCCTTGATACCTCTTTCTGTTTTTATTTGAATGCTATCATTGCATTCAAACAACAATAGAGCTCATTGCAAAATCTAAAAGCATTAATCATTTATTAATAGGATATACATAGTGGTAGCATGCACCCTAGTTATAGTTAGTGTTGTCCTCGTTATCATTAGTAATAGTCGCTCAGTGTTCATTTTGGAAAAAAAGGACAAACAACCCAAAAGGGGGGCCCACTGAGTCGGTCAAAGAGGGAAAAGCTGATTGAATGCCAAGGTGCTAATGAGTACCGTGCATAAGACGGTGGTCATGAACAGACCCGACAACCAAAAGACAATTTAGACACATTGAATAAGTAATTGACCAAATCAACCTCCTCCTTTCTGCTGGATTACAAAACAAAGACAAGCTGATCCTTTACGACTTAGAGGATATCGTTTCACTGCTTTACACTTCACTGATGGCGCATAAATGTGGTTCGAGAAATACATGAAAAACCTCGGGTTTGGAAAGTATTGGAATAAGAGTGATTGCAGTCTTTGGAAAATCAACTAATCCCTCAACACCTGACTCTAGTTATTGACCCCTTTTGTGCTAGATCTGTCCAATGATGTGGCATGACATTGTGTTGTGTGTCGAGCATCGGCAGGAAAAAGTCGCTCGATTATTGACACGCCAACTGTATATGATTGATAAAGAATCATCTCTGTTTATATAAGAAGCTAATCAAAAATTTTTTGAAACATCTAAAAACGAAATTATTTTGTATTTTTTGTTGTGGTGTATATGCCAAGTATAATAATGCAAACCGTAAACACGTTGCAAGGCGTCTTGGCTCGTATTGTAATTGCTAGATTGGGAAACAAAAGCAACCTTTGAAACGCACTTACACATTATTGAAGGTTGGCACTTGTCGGGTGTAATGACTAAAAGAGGGATATACGATCTTGGCAAAGAAGGGGAAAAGATTGTCCATGGCTTGTCATTTCGTCCCATTGACTTATAATGTGGTCTAAGGGTATGAGTACGGTTTACCATGAGGACGTTTGGGATGTAGTGATAAGCATATACTACCGTTCTGAAGTGTAGATTTAGTTAGTTCCTGTAAAAGTGTGCATCATAAATTGTGTGACACCTCCATGCCAGGTTTTCAAGGATTACCCAAGTATAATAAATCATAGTGTCCAATAATGTTTTGGTATTTCGCTTGGTGTCTGTTGTAGTACTCCGCAATGTCTCTTACTGCTTTGGGTGCAAGTTCCTGCACGTGTCGTTGATCACGTGTAACCCATATATAATTGGCCCCGACCCAAATGACCTCGCCCCCCCTTCACTATATTGACTCCGATGAAATATGAGCCTACGGTAGGATTTGATGGAGAGGGCGGAATGGTAGGGTATTCCCGACTATTTGCAAGGTTTTTGGGAAGAGTGCCGGGTTTTGCGGCTTGCACGTATACATGCTAATTTTGCGATTAAATTTTGCTTTTGCTCGGTTTTATGATACTCAAAGGGTCTTAGTCTAAATACACTGAAGCAAATATTGGATTGGTTGCCAAGTTCATATGTAATAAATGATTTTTAAAAAAGTGTTGTAATTCATGGAAGTACATGTAGATATCTCTCATTCTCTACGATAGGTATCATTAGAGCAGCCACATTGTTGGCCAAAAAAGTGGCCGTGACTAAGCAAGCACTCTCTAAAAAAAAGAAAAAAAAAAAACACTAGACATATTGCAGTATATTGTTAATCACAAGCTTTTTCCAGCGTATACTACTCTGCGTCGCAACTTCTATAATATACTACAAACTACCTGCACTGCTACACTCTCTGTTTCATATTTCGTCTTTTGTTGATAAATGACAAACTATTGGTGTTGTTGTTGTTATAGTATAAATCATTTTCAATCAATTTGTTATTTCCTTGGTAAAAGATCTTGAAACAGTAGCCAAAGTTAACAAGAATTGACTTGAAGCCGTACTTTGCAGTTGAGACTATTTGTGCATGCGATTGAAGATGTAGTGGGTATGCAGTTTTTTTCCCATCACTGAGTGAAATGATGAAACCTTCGTAGGACTCCTTTGAAGGCGTAGTTGACTTGGTGTTTCGCTGTCGCAATGAAGTAAGTCCTTGATTTTCAAAAACTGACGATGAGTGATTCGTCCTTGATGTCGTTTTCTCCTTACTGTGCACCTTTTCAAATCCGATAATCATATTGACGTCACTGACCTGCCAGCATTTTACATCTTCATACCAGTGCTGACTCTCGCAAACAGCACTGAATCCAAGACATCTGATTTCTCGCGGATCTCTTTCAGCACGAAGACATATACTGTTTTTAGATCTTTGCAGATCAAGTTTGAAGGTGTGAACAATCAAAATACCCGAGTCATCTTCGTACACCAATGACAATGACGTTACCGAAACACAACCGCAGAATTTACAATGTGTTGGTTGTGAGTGGGCAACTTTGAATGTGCCAGGTCTAAAGTGTCCAATGTTGAATGTTTTCAAAACGAGACCAGTTTGAACATCTATTAAAGAAGCTGTGAAATCGCAAACGGATACGACCATGCCTATGAAGTCAATGGGGACAATGACAGGTGTATTGAGTTTATGCGATTGTTTCATAGTGGTTACCACATAATTCCCACCAATGGAAAGCTTGATTGGAAAATCTCGAAAGACAAAATTGTTGTTAACCACAACTCCAAGTATAAACCCTCCATTTGTTTTTTGACAAACAATTTTGTCATTAACTCTTGGTGTTTTGACCTTTGCAGCAGCAGAAAAAGGTTCAAATTGCTGTTGCTTCAAAGAGCCATCTTCACAAGATAAAACCAAAACTGTGCCATTATTGAGCACAACCACAAAATCCTGAGATATATGGCCTTGCTTGACCTTGTTGACTGGTTTGGATATAGATGACGGGGAAGGAGGTACGACGAATGGGGCAGATGGCGCGGCTGTCAATATTGGCGAGTCAGGACAGCGAATGATGCCGCTATGAGAATCGGGCAACAGTGAGCTCGAGCTTGCTCGTTTATCTCGTAACAACTTTCTTGCCAAGAATCCTGGTACTGTCTTGTGTCTGAAAAATGACTCCAACACCTTGGAGTTTCGATTTATGTTGGGGTGTTGTTGAGTCCACTTTAATTGAAAGTGCTCATAACAGTAGATTGAACCTTTATTAAATGATATGAGAACGACGTGGGTCCCATCGTCACTAATGGCGATATGATTGACTGGCCATATATCAGTCGCTAGAACGTGCTTTTCGCTCGAACTTGGAGACCAAGCTGTCACTGCATGATTGAAGTCCAAGGATACAACAATTGGACAGTTAGGGTTGGTGATCACATTTAGTATATCTGATGATTGAAGACTTCGTAGTTCGATGGAGTTGAGTTTCTCTTTCTCTGGGTTGATATAATGACTAGTAGTGTCAATGGAAGGGGATTTTAGCTTGAGACAAATAAGACTGACGGATGCTACAAACACTATGGCAAGAATTCCTTCCACGTAAAACAGATTAATAAAAGACTGATCTAGTTGAATCATATTATAAGCATCTCGTTCTGTATGGGGTGTAGGTGTGCGTTGTGGGATACTGTTGTCGCTTTGGTGTAGAATCTTCCAAAATTTGCGATTTTCTTTTTTATTTTTTTCTCTTTTGCTCTCGTTAAATGTCACTTGTGCTACACTCAATCAATCGGATTTAACACAATGCTTTTGCAACTTGACTATTGGCACCAGTCACTCAAGATACTCTTTACAATTACGAAATTCACCGGAATACGAATTGTATTTCAAGCATGTACATTCTAGTTTATACGCTTATAATCTATACTCGTTTCAGTCACTGAAATTGTTAAAGCCTGGGTCACAAGTTCTAACAACACCATCCTTTTCTGAAAGCTTGTTCAACGTTTCGAAATCTTCCTCACTCAAGGTGAATGTCTTGATGTTGGAAATGATTCTTGAGTCGGTAACTGACTTTGGCAAAACAACGGTGTTTCTTTGCACAGCCCAAGAAACCAAGACTTGAGCAGGTTCAACACCATTCTTTTCAGCAATTTCAGTAATTGTCTTGTTTTTGAACAATGGAGATTCACTGGAGCCCAATGGTGAGTAAGCTTCCAAAACAATGTTCTTGGATTTCAAGTAATCGTACAATTCAGGTTGAGTCAACAATGGGTGAGCTTCAACTTGGTTAGCGGCTGGCACAACATCAACACCATCAGCGTTCAAAAGCTTTTCCAACTTCTTGACGGTAAAGTTTGAGACACCAATGGCCTTGACTTTTTTGCCTTTCTTGTAGATTTTTTGCAAAGTCTTCCAAGTGTCGACGAAATCGTGATCTGAGTAAGGCTTGTCCGTCTTTGGGTCAGTTGAGACTGGCCAGTGAATCAAATACAAATCGACATAGTCAAGACCCAATTTCTTCAAAGACTCATCCAAAGCTGCTTCAACATCCTTGTGGTTTTTGTTCCACAATTTGGTGGTAACAAACAATTCCTCTCTTGGGATCTTGGCAGCTGCAATACCTCTGCCTACTTCTTCTTCGTTTCCGTAGATGGCAGCAGTGTCAATGTGTCTGTAGCCATTCTTCAATGCAGTCAAGACTGAATTGTAGGCAGCATCTTTTTCACTAGCACGCCACGTTCCCAAACCAACGGCCGGGATCTTTGCACCTGTGTTTAAGGTGAATTTGATTGTGTTGACCTTCAATTGAGCTGACATTGTGATTTCCTTGTTAGTGTTGTCTCTGACTGTGGAAAGAGTGCAATTGTTGAAAAGAATTGACCAGAAAGGCGAATTTAGCGGTTATTTATATTGTTGCTAATATGTTTTTTTTTTGCTGTGTATTTGTTCCGAGTACGCTACAGATGACAAATCTGACAGCAAAAACTAAAAAAAAAAAAAAAGAGAAATGAAAGTTTAACGCCACACAAAATGCAGAAGTTATATATATGGTTGTGCTGAGTTTTGTAAAGCAATTAAACAGCCCTCTTCCTCCCCCCCCCCAAAAGAAAAAAAAAAAAAACAACCAAAATATCTCGGAAAATTACCTAAAACGGAGGGGGTGGGAGGGGGTGGGGGGTGATACTACCCGCACAACTCTCAGGGCCATACTTGACCTAAGACAGTGATATAGTGATATGACATCATTGTATTACTCAGCAAAAGAACAGTTGTTACCACTTTTGTGATCAACAGAGTACAATAGAGGGTTATCGGGATTGCTAGCCACAGTCCAAATATCTCAACATACAGGATCCGTCAACTTTCATTGCGATGGAAGCCTTTTCCAGATTCGTAGCACCCAACTACTCTCACTCCAAAAGAGTGTCGTGTGAATTGTCGTAAATGAATTGCTGGCGAAACCAAAAGAAGAAAGAAAAAAAAAAAAAAACAAAAAAAAAAAAACTTGAAAAATTCAAACTGCAATTGAATCGACAAATTGAGTATTTCGAATTCAGCTTTCAGTTATGGAGTCGGTACTTAATACCACCTTGGGTACACGTTTGAGTGCGTACTTGGTCACAGCAGATGATTTTAAAAGACAAAGGACTAGGGTCAACAAGAGAATTCTCAAGCTACGTCGTGACCTAAACTTGGTCACCAAGGATACCAAAAATTATAGCGCAAAGGAACAAACTTCAAAGATCACGCCTCAACAGTACAATGAGAACAAGGACTACGGATTGCTTGAGCTACTTTTGGCTGAGAGGGATATGTTGTATGCACATGAGATAAAAGCGAAATTGGACATCAATAGTGAAAAATCGTCATCGTTTACCACTCTATTGAAAACCAAGATGAAGAGAGCATTATTCCATGTTGACAACTTGATAAAGTTGACTGCAGACGAGACCGACAAGAAATTGCGCATTGAGGTTTACATTTATGCAGCATTGGTTGCTGGACAATTATCAATTACTAGGAAACAATGGGCAAAAGCATTGAATGCATTTTCGATAGCAAAGTGCAGTTTGGACTATTTGAATGCACAGGATAGTGATAAGGAGTCCTTCAACAAGACTTTGTGCTCTGAGCTACTTGAAAACACAGTTGACCCCTCTTTGAATTTGGCAGCGTCGCAATTACATGACGTTCCAGCAACTGATTTGAAGACGTTGTCAAGAAAGTACTGTCATGAAAGATATTTCCCTAGAATTTCAGTTGCTCTCGACTTGATCGATCCACTGTTCACCAAGGACATCTCGTCTTCAGTACAGTTGCAAAAAGAAGTGGATTGGAGGGGTCACGTTGCTACAATTTACAACGACGAACTTGCTTACAAGATCCAAGAATTAACCAGTAACAAGGAGTGGCTGGAGTACAATGACGTCAATCAATTTGATCACGTTATTGCATCTTGGATCAGCATTTTGGAGTTGCATAAAGAAGATTCGCAGAAAAACAAAGATGACGACGACATGGAAAAGGTTCAGGATAGAGCAATTTTATCAACTTATATCAACTACAATTTACTCTTTACGAAACTCAAAAGAGATTTGTTGTTGGTAGGCCAATTGGCAGCTCACAATAATGTTGAGGAAAATAAGGATATCATTCGAATTTACTCCGGCATCACCCAACTAGTTGACGAATTAAAAGAGCTTCCTGGTGTCTACAATGACGAAGACCTACATGAATCGCTAGAAAATTTGGAAAAGTTTTACAATAGTCAGAAGAATGTAATCATTGCTGAGTCGTACCAGTTCAACAGCAGATTTTCAGAAAGCTTGAAAATTTACAACTATGTCAATCAGGAGTTGAAAATCTCGCATGACTATTACAAAGTTGAGTTCCCATTTGAAGTGAGTACCAATACCGAAGTTGCCCTTTTTAAAGTGCATTTGGAAAAGAAGGTTTTGCAAGCACAAGTTAGTGCCCAATTTGAACAGAGTAAGAAGGCCGCCTGTTCGAAATATACAATTGAGGATACAAAGAAGTTCCCTCTTGGATTGGAGGTGATAAATCTCGACAAGATTGAGCCAGTGATGTGTAAACCTGTTTTGTTTGATATTGCATTCAACTACATTTCACCTGCTCCAGAAGCTGCACAACCAGTTCAAAAACCTACTCCTGCAAGTGAGTTCAATCTGGAACAAACGAAAAAGCGTGGATTCTTTGGTATATTCGGTGGACGTAAGTAGAGATGTGAGAGTAAAGTTGTTTCTAGTCGAAGCTCAGCAATGAAAATTGATGAGCTTGTTCAAAAAAAAAAGGAAAAAAAAATAAAAGCGATCCATACGCGTAGACATTGAAAAATTACAGTAGCCTAAACCTTAAACCCAAACTGCTATTTGTCTCCACTACCATACACTTATGAAGAAAGAAGGACTGGCATTGTTGTTAGCAATATGTGTTGTGGGTTTATATAGTACGTTCCTCACGTGGTCTGTCTTGCAGGAACGTATCAACACTACTCCTTACGGCGAAAATGAATATTTTCGTACCCCCCTAATAGTGAACAGTGCTCAAGCATTCCTTGCATCGATAGTTGGACTATTATACACAATCGTAACGTCAACGTCCTCACCATTTGATGTATTCACACAGAATGGCAAACAAGGATGGCAGGTGTTCAAATCATTGGTCTTGATATCTGTATGTTCAAGTGTTGCATCTCCAATTGGATATAAATCTTTGGCACATTTGGACTATTTGGCCTACTTGTTGGCAAAATCATGCAAATTGATTCCAGTAATGTTTGTTCATTTCACACTATACAAGACTAGGTTCCCATTGTTCAAGTACGTTGTTGCTCTGTTGGTGACTTTGGGAGTGACGATATTCACCTTGGCCCATTCAAAAGAGAGTAAAAAGGTTAATGATGGGAATACACCCTTGGGATTGGCTTACTTGATTGGGAGTATGCTACTCGATGGATTTACAAACTCCACCCAAGACCAGTTGTTCAAGATTCCCCTCCAGAGGAAATTCACTGGTGCTAAATTAATGTGTGTTTTGAATTTGTTCATATTTGTACTTACTGCCGGCTATATTATTCTTTTCCAAACTGAGCAGATCACCAGCACTTTCAACTTTATTCAAAAGTATCCTCAACTACTTTACGATATTGTCATTTTTGCCGGCTGTGGTGCTGTTGGGCAAGTGTTTATATTTATTATATTGGAGCACTTTGACTCAATTGTGTTGATAACGGCAACGGTGACGAGAAAGATGTTAAGTATGATATTGAGTGTGGTTTTGTTTGGACACTACTTGAATTTCAAGCAGTGGATTGGTGTGGTGATGGTTTTTGGTGGGATTGGGTTCGAGGCTTTTGCCAAGTCTCAACAAAAGAGAAAGCGTAAAAGCAATTGAAGGGTGAGTTGTACATGTTCACTTGTTTGTTTGTATATACTGTGTCTTTTACATAACCTAGTCCCATTTTCGTTTGGCAATAGTGCCAACTTTTCTCATTCACGTGCGTTCCTTCCCCTTCACCCTCCCCCTCTTCCACCTCATTGAATAATTCCATCCAAATACTCTTCAATCTTTTTCTTGATATTCTCTTTAACCTCTAGCGGTATCGATTCTTCTGCCTTCGGTCTCACATATGCATATAAATCACCTAAGCTTTTTGTCTCCAATTTCTTTTTATCACCTCCCTCATTTAGTCTATCGTTTGCAATCTGTGCCACTTTGTCATACCACCCACTCTCATACAACTGTAGTTTGAGCTGCTTATTGATGAGATCGTAGTTCCCTGAGGCAACCAAGTGTTCTTGAATTTTTGATTTGATTTGGTTTAGCTCATCTTGTTGCGTCATCTTTGGTGTGGTTGCGATTGAGGACAAGTGACCCAAATGAAAAGCTTCTGTTGCAAATGTAAATCCTCTATAGTTATTGAGGCTGAGTCCTAGATAAGCGTATCCGTTGGATATTGTATGCCACAAGTGATGCGCTTCTGAGTTTTGTCGGTTGATCATTTTGATATTTTTTTTTGCAATTTTCCAACAAAAGCAATCATTTTCTTCTCCTATGCTAAGATCACTTCTTACAAGAGCAATGTCCACAAAAGCTTCCCCCTACAAGGCCAGAGTAACTGCAATTGAACCTTTGCAACAAGGCAAATGGATTCAAACGAGAAAGATCGAGTACAATGACCCCAATGGGAAACCCAAGCAATGGGAAATGGCTGTGAGAACCACTAGGACAGATACCACAAACGTCGACGCAGTATCCATTGTTTCTGTCCTACACCACGAAAACAAGGCTAAGGAGTTGGTCTTGGTTAAACAATTCCGCCCACCTTGTGAAAAAGTGATGATCGAAATGCCAGCCGGTTTGGTGGATCCCAAGGAAACGATAGAAACAACAGCGGTTAGAGAGCTACTTGAAGAAACAGGTTACCACGGCACATTCCGTAAGCAGTCCCTGATTATGTTTAGTGACCCGGGATTAACCAATGCCAACATGGTTTTGGCTCATGTTGATATCGACTTGAAAGACCCCAAGAATCAGAACCCAGTGCCACAATTGGAAGAAAATGAGTTTATAGAGACGTTTACTCTTCCCTTGGAGAACTTGTTGGAAGAAATGGAAAACATCTGTGAAAAGGAAGGTTGTTCGGTTGATGCGAGGTTGTACCATTTTGCCAAGGGTATACAATTGGCGAGAGCTTTTCAATTGTGAGTAGTAAAGAGTGTCAATGTCATTGGAGTAGTGAATATCAAAGAAACTAAGTAGAATAGAAGATGCACGGCATAGCTTTATCGTAGATTTCATCTCTTTTGCTTTTAAGAAATGCTGTTAACAATTACCCGCTTCAGGCGATTTTATATATCCGCAGCTCCCCACCCCCCACCAAAAAAAAAAAAAAAAGAAAAACAGTTGGGTTCTACACTTCACCTTAGTTCTGACCCCAGTTTTTCAACTAACCAGTCTCGCCAATTTCACGCAATGACAAGTATAGATCCATCCAGCGATACAGGAGTGTCCGATTCATGCTGTTTCTGCTTAGGAACTGATACTGACATTCCATCGTTTGGTACCATTCAAGATGCGCAGGACATGCTAAAGCCATGCTCGACATGTTCACTAGTTTGCCATCGTAGGTGCTTATTGGATTGGCTTGACACGGTTCCTCCTAACAAATTGCGTGTCATTCATGCGTCTGCAACACCGGCCGACACTTCTTTATTAGCAAGGATGCATCAGGAACATGGTGGTGATATTGGTATAGGGCAGGCACGCACTACAAACACAACCATCAGAATCGACTTGACGGCACAAGCTCTTGAGAGCTGGTTCAACAATATCACAAGTTTCACAAACAACGAAGATGATACGGATGTAGATGCCGAAGGTGAAGGTGAAGGCGGGTCTTTGGAAGATGAGCAGGATTTGGAGCACCCTCATGACGGTCACGCGACTCCATTAAGCGACCACAATAGCCACGGTGAGGATTCATTTAGCAACTCTAGAGAAACCTTGGTTTATATTCTAGCACCTTGCCCACAGTGCAAGAAATGGATCATGTTTTCCATGAAGAGGTCGTTGCTACTCACGCTCCACTCTGCATTGAAATCGACAACCACCAAATTGATTCGATACGGTGCTGTTTTTCTTGGAATCACGTCGGCACTCACTGGTATAGCATCAATGGGGTACATTGGGTTAACAAGCGTGGGCATAAAAATGATGGACAAGATCGTGCCTGCCCCATTATTGGTACGATTATTGACGCGGAGAACCTTGCTCAAGTCAACAAGTACGTATTCGTCATTGTCGAAAATACTATTTGGTAATTCGGCTTCATACGCGGTGGATAATTTGGAGCAAGCATTAGTTCAAGGCTTGATTGACCCGTTGAAGTTCTCCCGTATTCCAGTGTTGCCAATTGTAATGTACCGAGCTAGATCATCTTCCATTTTCAAGTTGATTTTTGGTCGTCGCGATGACGAGTATCCCAGTGCGTTGATTACAGAGCTCATGATTAGTGCTTATATTTCTTCTATTGGTGACCACGCTTTAGTTCGAGCCATCTACAGAAATCTCAAGGCTGATATCACAAGTGGACTTCAGCATGGGTTCAGTTTCACAGCTAATCCATTGAGAAACATTGATTTTCTTTCTACAAACAATATTATATCCATGTTGGTTCCTTTGAGATGGGCGTATGATCTCTTTTATCGTCTTTCGTTCAATCGTGCCTACTTTAATCTCACCATGGAATCTCGGCCCAGAACAATAGCAAATAGTCTAAGTGAGGCTGAAATTGATCAGTTGGAAAATTTGAATAGCCAGTTGAATGACTTGACCACCAGAAATCGCAAAATCTACAACACCATTGATAAAAGCATTGAAGCAAACTCATTCCTAAACATTCCTGTTATTTCATCATGGATCAAGTTTGCTCATAAGCAGTTTGTTTACTTGCACGCATTACGCAACACATGGCTCAAGTACATCAAGTTGACCTTGACTTCAAATGTGAAATTCACATGGGCATGTCTTCGATACGACTATTCGACACCATTAGCAGCAAACGGAACCATCATCAAATCACTAACAACAATCTTTTGGCCATACCTTGCTTCCAAAGTCGGTTTATTGATTGCTCCTTTGCTAAGTAAGAATTTCGCCGCTTTTGATAAATTACACATTGATAAAAAAATCCTCATTGCAAACATTGTTGGATTGGTTCTTGTTGCCATTGCCAAAGAGATTCCCCAGCTCTATATGGCGCGGAAAAAAGTGAAACAAATGTCACGAATCGTGCTGGTTGATTCGAATGATCTTGGGATATTCAAAAGCTTGACAGCAAGTCTTTTACAAGAAGGAAGAAACGGAAGTAGCGATGATGATGATGATGGTGGTGGTGGTGGTGACACGTTGGCTGAAGTTAGCGACGTTTTAATCAATGATCTCGCAAACATACCGGGTAATTTCCCTCAGTGAAGCGAGAGAGAGAGAGTAGCAGTGAGGGGCAAGTACTTATACACACACCGGCATGCACATTGGTAGGTAATGATACATATATCTTATATTGGTACAATTTGCAAAATGACTGTAGAAAAAGGTATACTAAACAAAATCAATCAACGCATGGTTGCGTTCAAAGGTCCTTTACTCATCGTCGTAATTCTCGTCTTCTTCAACTTGTCTCATTGGCGGCTCTGCATTTTCCTCCTGCTTTGCATCCTGTTTTGCATTGTCATCACCATCTTCAGGTTTGCTTTCTTCGACTTGCTCAGTATCCTTCTTTTCATGATTTGCCTTCGCATCGTCTTGATTGTCTTCCGATTTCTTGCGCTCTTCTTCATGCTTCTCTTCTCTTGCTGAAGTCTCACCAGCATGATGATGGTCCTGTACAACAGGTTCACCATCACCACCACGATCTTTCTTGTCTTTATTTCCTGCAGGAATTGCACCAGAGACAACATCATCTGGTTCATTGGAGTTGCTCTCATCTTCCTCCGCCTTTTTGCCAGTCACGTTACTTGAAAAACGGGGCACCGATTGAACTTCCGCGGGAGCTTCTGCTGGAACTGGTGGCACTTCAGCTGAAGATGGGGTTCCTGGGTTGGGTTGTTCAGCCGATGCTTTGGTAGCTTCAACACCGGAATTGGAGGAAATCTTCACTTCCTGTTGAATTGGTTTTGGTGGCTCCTCCTTTTCACTTTGAAGTTCATGTTCAGAAGTAGCGGCTGTCGCAATTGCATTCTTATCCTCCACATCCTTCTTTTTCAAAATCCTTTCTGAGTCTTCTTTATCATCCAAGTCACGCTTCCCATTATTTGGAAAAGTCTCATAACCATCTGAAGAAGGGCCAGCTAGTGGCAATTGCAGGTTCGAGGAAGGAGCAGAGGGTTGAGCCTGCTCTGCTTGTGGCTCTGACTTTGTCTCCGTCTGTTGTCCTTGCTGGGCAGACTCCTTTTCCTTTGCAGACTCCACATTTTCTAGCTTTGCAACAGCTGGTGCTGGTGCTGGTGCTGGTGCTGGTGCTGGTACAGTTGGCTCCTCAGGACGAGGGGTTGGAACTGGCGTCTCTTGCTGTACTTGTGTATTTCCAAAAGCTTCAGCTTTCACAGCTTGCGGAGGTTTATCATGTTCCAGTTGTTTATTCAACTCTTCGGCATTTCCTCCTTTCACTTCGGTACTTTTCGATTCCAATGTTGGCTTTGTATCAATGTTTGCAACACTTGATGGATTCGAATTATTCAACGCCGGCAAAGCTGGACTGGCCTGTGATGTGTCGGGATGATTCACTTGCATTGAAGGTTGAGGCTGGTGAGGGGGCTGTTGACTATACTGATTAGGAGCTTGTGATGCGGGTACTGGAATTTGTTGCTGAGGCTGGTGTACTTGTACTGGTTGCTGCAGTGGTTGGTTCGTGTTTGAGCTTTGGTATTGAGCAAGACCAGCTGCAATTCCTGGTTGAACTTGCTGGTACTGAGGCAACAGTTGTTGCTGTTGCTGCGGTGGTGGTGGTGGAGGCGCAGGCAACAGTGATCCTGGCTGAGTCGCTGCACTCAATTGGAGAGGACCTTGATTGTTTGCCAGAGCCGAAGCAAATTGCAGTTGCTGCTGCTGCTGCAGTTGCAGTTGCTGTTGTTGTTGTTGTTGTTGTGGTGGTGGTGGTGGCTGCTGTTGTTGTTGTTGCTGTTGCTGTGGTGGTAACTGTCCAAAAGGTTGTCCCGGCGTTTGACCAGCTTGCAATTGTTGGCCACCGGTTTGTTGCACGGGCAGCCCTTGTTGTCCTGGTTGCTGATTACTTTCCAAAACCATTCCTTGCGGTAATCTTGGTTGTTGAATAGATGGTGGTGGTTGAGGAGCATGAGTGTTTCCTTCTTGTTGATATTTGATCAATTGATCCAATCTTGCCTTTATATGAGGGTTTCCTGGATCCAATCTTTCTGCTTGCCTATAAGCGTCTAATGCATCGCTAATTTGGTTGTTGCAAGTTTCATACAAGGTTCCCAAATCGTACCAAACTTCGCTGATGTAGGGGTTTAATCTGATTGCTCTGGTATAAGCATCCAAAGCATCGCGGTATTGACTGATTTGGTAGTACAATACACCAATAGAGCACCAAAAAGTTGGGTTTCTAGAGTCACGATTAACAGCTTGTTGGAAAGCTTCATAAGCTGCGTTGAAATCTCCTCTAATCATGTGAACTCTTCCCAAGTAATACCAAGAGTGGGCATCAGTAGAATCAATCTCTAAAGATTGCGTCAAGTATTTTAATGCAATATTCAAATCTTGTTGGAATGGCTCGTGTCGAGCTGGATGGGAGCCATTAGATTGACCTGGGGTTGGTGGGTTCAGTTCAGCTTGAGAATAAAGGCATCCCAACTGTTGCAATACTTTTGCATGTTGAGGATTCACTTGTAGTACCTTTTCGTAAGCTTCCTTAGCTCCATTCCAGTCCTTTTGTTGTTCCAAAACCGATCCAATTTGGAACCAAACGTCAGGCTGAGTCAATGGTGGTGGAGGGTTATTCAAAATGTATTGGAAGCATTCCAATGCAGGTTGCAATTTGCCTTGGTGTTTATATATAATACCCAAACGGAAATAAATTTCGGTGGCTTTTTCGAAATTGGGATCCAATTCCAACACGCGAACAAATGCTTCTTCAGCGTATTCCAAAGAACCATATCGGTCATAAAGAATACCGATTCCATGCCACAATTTCGGTACATTGGGATTTTCCAAATAATACAATGCACGTTGATAAGCAGCATAGGCTCTTTGTAAATCGTCCAACATCAAGTAGCAATGTCCTAACAAACCCCAAGTTTCACCATTTTCTGGGTTGAAATTGAGTGCCTGTTCATACAACTCTGCAGCTTTGAAAAACACATCCTTTGAACGGTAAACATTGGCTAGTTTAGTTAAAATTTCAGGGTTATTTGGCGAATGTCTCAAAGCCGAGTCGTAAGCAGACATAGCACGGTCGAAATCTCCTAAACTTTCAGCTAAGGACCCAATTGCTAGCCAGGTGGAGGCCGTGCTGTCACTCAAAGCGTTTGCGACGGGGTTACCCTGAGCCTGTGCTTGTGCTTGTGCTTGTTGGGCCAGAGCTTGTGCTTGTGCTTGAGCTTGAGCTTGAGCTTGTGCCTGGGCTGCTGCAACGATCATTCCTGGCCCGGTAGCGTGAGAAGCTTGTTGCTGCTGCTGCTGTTGATATTGCTGCTGCTGTTGTTGTTGTTGTTGTTGTTGAGGTGTAGGTTGCGTTGGAAGCGGAGCACCTGGGTTTGGTGGATGAATACCCCCATTCAAAGTGGATGGTGGGGGCTGCTTGTTGCCAACAACAATTGAGTGGGCAGGATTGTACATGAGAAAAGGTACTTAACAAACAAGAAAAAAAAAGGAAAGGGTGTGAAATGGTGTTGCAGGTCTAAATCTTAGTCAAAGCAGTGTAGATGGTGGGTGCTGTGTGTGTGTGTGTATAACCTGCGATGCAGTTCTGAACTATATGTATATATGAACTGAAGTAGTAGTTTGTTTGCAAAGCTTAATATCCTCGAGGTGGGAGTGGGGGGGGGGCCAGTTTGGTTGTCAATTTTTCCTCTGTCTTTGGTTGTTGTTGATAATTTTTTTTTCTCTTTTTCTCTTTTTCTCTCTCTTTCTCTCTTTCTCTCTTTCTCTTGTGTGGGTTCTGTATGGGTCTTTCTCTGTTGCGTTCAGTTGTGTCTTGAGATTGTACACAAAGTCTTACGTGGAAAATTAACAAACAAACAACAAACAACAAACAACAACAATAACTACAACGAAGAAATAAAATAAATAAATAAATAAATATAAATAAATGAAAAAAAAAAAAAAAAAAATAAATATAAAATTTATTTTTGTGAAACTGCGGGAGGCAAAGTTAAAAAGTTGTCAAACAAAACAAAACACTCAAGTGTTGACTGTTATGAATGTAATCAATTAATTGAACTTAATGATGTGTCGCAACAAGAAAGTATCTCTGTGTTTGCACCTGTATGCGCCAGTTACTCAAGCTGCTATATCCTTTGGTGAGGTGCAGTAGACAACCACTTATACACGGGGGTGGAAAATTTTTGTTGATGAAAAGTTCCTTAACGTCATTCGCTTGTCGATTAAATTATTTTCGTGTTTTAGATTTTACGACATTGCAACATTCAATAATTCCCCCCCTCTAATTTCAAAATCGGGTGGGGTACACTTAGAGCTTGACCTCCGTTCTTACTATGACCCACCACTACTACTACTACTACTACTACTACTACTACTACTACTACACAAGCAATACTATAACTATTACTGAAACAGCACCACTGATTGCTCTAGTTTTTTATGTTTTTCTTATTTTGTCAACTCCGGGCACAGCTTGGTGGTAAAACTTACACACAATTAATCAGGCACAGCCTCTTACAAACCCTTCATCCTCAGACGGATTTAATCACTCTAAAGTAACAAGCCATGTCGACCAAACAGTGGCATAAGACTGCTTGCACCTGTAAGACCCCGAACAGATTCTCTTTATCTCAACCATAGTCGGAATCCGGGGATAAGTGGAAAAAAAAAGGGGGTGCAGAATTGTTGTGTTGTCACATGAACAGCACATAGGCATTTCTTACACCCGCATTTGAAAATTAATATTGTGAGTTTCTTTTTCTTATTTTTTGTTTTTTTGTTATGGAAGACTAAAATCTCTAAATTACGATCACTAGCTTGCACCCTAGACAAATTCAACCTGAGCATAACGGAGCACGGTGCTCATTTGGGGCAAATGCATACTTCACACTGGGTATACCATCATAACACCGTTGTTGTAGACTTGATTCAATATCAACAAACACTGTTCTTCATTCCCAACTGGTTTCAAAAATTTCTGCACCCCCTATTTGTTTTTGACCCGATTACACAAATAGACAATTTTTTTGTTTTTTTTCATTGCCTACTTTTTGGGGGTGTAAATATTTCAAGTTTTTACACACCCTGAGTTATTGTCCTGATTTTAGACCTTGAGAAACTTCGCTTCTTTATGTTTCCTTTCTTTTTTTTTTTTTTTTTTTTTTTTTTTTTTTTTTTTTCTTTTTTTTTTTTTTTTTTTTTTTTTTTTTTTTTTTTTTTTTTTTTTTTTTTTTTTGTCTTTTCTCTGACTCCGTATTTCTTATGCAATTGACTCCTTATTTTGACAACCGCTAACAAATGATTGTAAAATGAAAAACTGCAGTACTTACAGTATCCTCTTATATACATACACACAAAGTACGTGTCCCCCCCCCCCCTCACAAGTGCAGTTTCTTATTCTGCTGCCCTTTGAAGGAGCTATTGAAGCCCAACAAACTATTTAAATCTTTTGACCACTGGTTTTGGTTAGTAGCAACACACCAAATACCATTCTTATCATTATATTCGACACCATCACCACTGTACTCTCCTGCTTCAGCACTTCTCCCATTATTTCGCTTCTGCTTCTTGATCTTATCGTTTTCAACCACAACTGTTTCAGAGGTTATATGTAATTCATCTCCCGGATGCAAATCCTGTTGACTGATTCCATCCACTGTCAACTCTATAAATGAACTGCGATTGGTTTTGGATAATCGCACCATAATATCCGAACTGCATGGTAAGATCAATGGACGAAACGAAAGCGAGCGAGGACATATGGGTGTGAGCAATATACACGCCACAGCTGGGTGTGTTATTGATCCACCGGCAGATAACGAATATGCAGTTGACCCAGTTGGAGTAGAAAAGATTAATCCATCAGCATAGGTAGTTGTGAAGAATTCGTTATCAATATAAATATCTAATGATGTCAAATTGGGTGAGCTTCCGCGATGGATCGTGATGTCATTCATTGCATGAATCATTTCTTGCTTCTCCAGAATAGCTACCGGGTGGTCGCTGCTCTCCTCCATTTCAGTAACCAGCCTCTTCCTCTTGTTCCTGACGGTGGCAACTTCAACTTCCTCCTCTTTAGCCTCGTGACACACTTTTGTATCGGCATTTCTAACCACATGGCACTCCAACCGGTTCCTGTGCAATGCTTGTGCCCTATTCTCATAAACCAATGCAAAACACAGCATACAGTTTTTGAAATCAAATGGCAACAAAAACCCCAACGTCCCCATGGCAAACGACAAGACTGGTGGGACTTGGACATTGGAAAATAGCGAAACCCCTCGTAAAATAGTTCCATCACCACCAAGTGTAATCAACAAATCAGTCTTGCTTATGATTTCCTTTTTGGTACCTGTATAAACAACATGTTCCACTTTCGAGTCCAATTGCTTATCAACGCTAGAACCTTCACTCATCAACTCATCAGCAACGTTTTCATCAACAATCACATTGACACATGGGTACAGCACATGCAAATGATTTATCAACTCCACCATGGCGTCGCGCACACTAGGCTCCCATGGCTTCTTCACTAAAAACACATTTGAAAGCGGGCCCTCGCTCCATATTACATTGTATAAGCGATTATTTGCCGATTTGATATACTCTGGAAACCGGGCGGATGGTAAGTCACGACACGACTTCATTGTGAGTTTGGATTCACTGCCCCGCATAGTTGTCGCCAGTTGAGAGAGGAATCGCCGTTGGCGGTGGTGGTGGTGTAGTTGTAGTTGTTGTTGGAGGTGTAGTTGTTGTTGGAGGTGTAGTTGTTGTTGTAATTTCGGTCGGAGTAATTTGGACAACTTTGTTGCAATTGGTGGGCTGTTGCGTAGTTTATGTGGTGATAAACTTGGCAAGATAAAGTCGTGGATAATCATTCGATATTATAAATGGAGATACAACGGTTTCAAAGTAATGTGCAATCTTGTTGGATCTCACTATTTCAAAACAGGTGATATCACCGATGCAGTTGCCCTACAACACGCAATGAATATGTTCTTTATGCACCACATACAGTTCTGATTCTTTTTTTTTTTTTTATATTTTTTTATTTCTATACTTTTGTGGAGTGATCAAAATAAAACTAATGATACAATCTTTTTCATTTTCTCTTCCTTATTCTACAATATCTACTCATTCATTCTTTAACGCTGCTTCATTTATGGCCTCAATCTCCTTCAATTCCTCCTCTGTCAACATCGAAGCATCAGCAGTTTCATCTTTTGTCTTGTCGTCCTCAATGGTGTTGTTTTGCGTCTCGTCGCCATCAACTTCAGCATCCTTCATCTTTACATCTTCCTCCTCTTCGACAACAACGTCAGTCTTACTGCGGTCACCGTTACTTTCTTTATTCCCATTCTCTTCTATGTTTTGCTCTCCGGCATCTTTATCATCTTCATCATAAAATTCATTCTCTGGTTGTATTTGTGCATCTCGACTCATTTCTGATCCCCCTTTTGTATCAATTGCCTCAGGGCTGTCTTCTTCAACATCACCCAAATCTTCTGGATCATTGGGCACGTCATTCATCTGCACCGATGGCGCATGTTTAGTATTTTCTAAATTGGCTATTATACTAGTCATAATCTTGTCCAAGAACTCAGGCGAGTTTTGATTATACATGTTTGATGGACGTACTTCCAAGGAATAGTTTGGCGCGTAGTACTCGTAGTATTCATTGTACGGCAACTCTGCTGGCAATTTCACGTTGTTTAACAAGCCCGACTCATAAGCCCAGGTTCTAGCCACATTTCTCATTGTGTATCCACCACCACCCAACACCATCAATGGGATATTGAGCGATTTGACAAAATTAATGCAATTGGCGTGTCCCTGCATCGACAAGTTGAAACATCCCAACCTATCACCACTTAAAGAGTCACCCCCACATTGTAGCACAATGGCTGACGGTTGGTACCATTCGACAATCTTGGATATCACCGGCTCAAAAATCGACTTGTACGTAGCGTCGTCAATACCATCTCTCAAGGGAACATTCACACTGTGATACTTTCCCTTGCCAATTCCGATATCTCTCAATTCCCCAGTTCCGGGGAAAAACTCACCATATTTGTGGAACGAACATGTCATGACTCGATCAGTAGTGTAGAAAGCCTCTTCGACACCATCACCGTGATGCACATCAATATCAATGTACAATACTCTCGGATGGTATCTCAACAACTCGATTATACCCAACACAATATCATTCAAGTAACAGAACCCAGATGCTTCTGATTTCTTTGCATGATGCAAGCCACCTGCATAGTTAATGGCAATATCACATTTGCCTCGGTTCAACCGTGCTGCACCTTCCATTGACCCACCACCACTGATTCCACAATACTCAAACAATCCATCAAACACAGGACAATCGTCACCAACGTTAAACTTGACACTCTCTTTACTAAACATGTCTAAATTGTCCGGCGACACTCGACTAATGAAATCGATATACTCGTCAGTGTGAAACTGGCACATTTCTTGTTTTGTTGCTGGTTTGGCACGATAGATCTCCATCTTCTTGTAGAGTCCATAGTTCATTATAAGCGAGTGTGCCATTCTTATACGATGTGGCTTCATCGGATGTCCGGCACCATAAGCATAGTTTCCAATGTCTGCATCGTAGAAATAAGCTATTCTTTTCTTTTGGTTCGGGTCAACTTTGAGCTCGTCAAAGGGGAGCTGTGTGTACATGTCTGGCCAAGGGGTAGGGGAGGAGAGGGGAGTATATGGTGCTTGATTAGGAAAAGTTGTCTGCTGGTGAACCCTGCTTTTTTGTTTACTTCTCTAGCTCGCTGGGGGTTTTTTTTTTTTTTGTTTTTTTTTCCAAATTTTTCGTTCTTGTGGTACAGGGCGGCTATGGTGGGCCTGTGCTACCAAAAAAAAAAAAGAGAGAGAGAGAGAGAGAGAGAGAGAGAGAGAGACAGAGCCAAAGAGAATTATTCCTTTACCTATCTACACCTCTACGTAACTCTCTCTTTCTCTTCTCACTCTATCTTTGAAATTCAGCAACTGCTCATTCAACTGATTCTGCAATTCAGCATTGGTGCACCATTTCTTGTAAACTTCTTCATTGATCTTGAAGTTGATTCCATTCTTGAATCCTAAATTAGCAACTTTTTCAGTTACAGATATCGGTAGCAACCATGCCCCCCAACTCTCACCAAACACTTCTTTGAAATTCTGCTTCCGTCCAAGATCAAATATGTTGGTCAATTTTTTTTGCTTCCCATTGGCGTCAAACTCGTAGTTGTATCGATCGGCACCACGATAATTCCATCTTTGCTCTTGAAATTCAATCGTTGTTGTATTCTTGCTAATCATGTATAACGAGAAAAGTGCAAACAAGGTTAACGAAAAGCCAAAAGTCAACGACAACACACAAACAAGAATCAAGTTGATAGAAATGTACTCTTCTTGATACTTGTCCGTTGCAAAAATATCATACAAGATTTTAACCGACACACCAAACACAACCCAGCAATAAATAGCAGTATAGCACAAGAACTGTACAAAGAACTTGTAGTTGAAATACCCAATACATATCGAGAACCACGGACAATAATGATCCATTTTCAAAATGCATTTCCCCGATTTCGAACAATGATGAGTCCGATCCGGTTTCCAGCAACTGCATTTGCTGCAATATCGAAACCCCTGGTTCCCGCCAAGCTTCAAAGTATGCACAGTCATGAATTCAGGTGGCTCCTGATCGGGTCTTGGGCTCGATCTCGAGGCATTATCAAGGGGATTTTCAGAATAATTGTTGATTCTCAACTGCGGATAGTCCAATGGCGATCCGGGGCCGGTATGTATGGTTCTGAAATATGCAAACATGCAGAGAATAAATAGTAGTATGATGATGCTAGATTGTATGTAAAATGACGGTTGTGGTTCTGTGTATTTGGGAATTATAAGCAACATGACATATAATGACCATGTAATGGTTCCGGAAAAGAATACCTTGGGGAATAGGGAGGCAAGCATACAGCAGAATTGCTCGCAGGACATGAGAAGCGTATTTCGTTTGAGCATTCTCATCAGGGGACAATGAGGGGGGGTAGGAGCAGGTTGAAAGGGTTGGTGAATGTCTGAGTGTGTGGGTTGAATGTGGCTGAATCTGAGGGAGTGTGTGTGTGTGTGTGTCTCTCTCTCTTCGTCACAGATTACCCGCGTGTCGTAAAATACATTTTTCAGACATTTGTTCTTTCTCTGTCCAATCAACAAATTTTGAATTTTGCTTAACAAACAAACAAACAACCACAGGCAAAAGACATAAATTTTTTTTTCTTTTTCTTATTAAGCTCAGGAAACTTTCTTCCATCAACAGCACAACAGGTTACCAAGTACATAGATCATCGAGTGGACGTATCGGAAACTAAAACCATACTGCGATAAATTAATACAACGTTCTTGATTACATATTCTCATTGCATTACCATTCACAAACCGCTCCAATGTACTCGTCAAACAAAACAGCCATGCTCAGGCAATTAGGAGGCTCAATAAGGCCGATCAAAACAGTATCGCCATCCATAGCACAACTTCCATTCTATCAACACACATCTAAACGTAATGTCTCATCAAAAGAGTTGACACCAAAGCAACTACCAACCGACTTCCCGTTAATGTCAGAAAAGACAGCCTCAAGTCCAATAGATTATGCATTGACTTCATTAGATGCTATAGCAAACTGGGCCAGGAAGTCGTCATTTTGGCCAGTTACTTTCGGATTAGCATGTTGTGCAGTGGAGATGATGCATGTCTCGGCACCAAGATACGATCAAGATAGGTTGGGTATTATTTTCAGAGCCTCGCCACGTCAATCAGATATCATGATTGTTGCTGGAACGTTGACCAACAAGATGGCGCCAGCATTGAGACAGGTTTACGACCAGATGCCAGATCCAAAGTGGGTTATTTCTATGGGTTCATGTGCAAATGGTGGTGGATACTACCATTACTCGTATTCAGTTGTGAGAGGTTGTGATAGAGTCATTCCTGTTGATATATACGTACCTGGATGTCCACCAACTGCAGAGGCCTTGATGTATGGTGTTTTCCAATTGCAAAAGAAGATGATGAAGACTAGAATCACAAGATTGTGGTACAGAAGCTGAGCAGGAGAGAAGAGGGGAAGAAGAAAAACAAGACTGTATTAGTATATAGATAATACGACGTTATTCAAAATTGAAAGATGCGTTTAGGTGGATTAGAGGTGTATTGTAGTTGGATGCTGGTGAATGGATGACCAATCTGTCAATGTGTCGCAATTGTTTCTGTTACGACACTGAGGAAAAAAAACTGACACAGCTTGCCCCTGATAAGGCAATATAACACCCGCATTGTAACGCAAGTAGCTTTGTTTTTTTTTTTTATTGAACTGGTTGTGTTTTAACAGCAACAGAAAAAAAAAAAATTAGTGTCGTTAGAAGGAGAGTCCAAAGAGAGAGAGAAAGAGATGGAAGTAAAGTGTGTAGAGTAGTGTAATTTGGTAATCTCTCACATTTGTAGTAAATAGAAACCAATTCCCACTTCTTACTTTCTACTTTGCCAAACACTTTTTTTATCTTTTTTTTTTGCCCCCTTTTTGCCCATTACTTTTCTTCTTTTGGAACACAACAGATAAACTCCATTTTATACAAGAAGATGGCCAGAACTAAACAAACAGCAAGGAAGTCTACTGGTGGTAAGGCCCCAAGAAAGCAATTAGCTTCTAAAGCAGCAAGAAAATCGGCACCAGTTTCGGGTGGTGTTAAGAAACCACACAGATATAAGCCAGGTACCGTTGCTTTGAGAGAAATTAGGAGATTCCAAAAATCCACTGAATTGTTGATTAGAAAGTTGCCTTTCCAAAGATTGGTTAGAGAAATTGCTCAAGATTTCAAGACTGACTTGAGATTCCAATCCTCTGCTATTGGTGCTTTGCAAGAAGCTGTTGAAGCTTACTTGGTTGGTTTGTTTGAAGACACTAACTTGTGTGCCATCCACGCCAAGAGAGTCACCATCCAAAAGAAGGATATCCAGTTGGCTAGAAGATTGAGAGGTGAAAGAACTTAGTTGTGTTGCAGCCGACTTTCTCCTCCTTCTTTCATGTTTTAGCCCCTTTCTTTTTTTATTTTTTTTTTTGTTATTCACTTCTTTTTATTGGTTGGTGTGATTTATGTTAATTTTTATATTGTTTTATTTTTTTGTATAGGTAAATTTGATTTCGTTTTTACTTTAGAAAGGAGATGTAGTTGAAGGTTAGAGGAAAGTTGGTGGTCACCACAGGTGCATTCTTTTAACCCAGTATATCCAATTTTTTACAACTCTATTTACACCCACCCAGTGAACTAGGAGCGCGAGTCATTGAAACCTTTAGACCCACTTTCATTACCCAAATCCATCTTTTTCATCGAGTCTATCAAATTCTCTTCATCTTTCTGTCCAAGTTGAAAAGATTTATCAGTTGCTTGACCACGCCGACTACCAGCATCGATGTCTTTGTTGTTGCCTTCTTTCACAGGTGTACTCGTATATGATGGCTCACTTTCACCTGTCCCTACACCTGCTCGGGTGCTTGATGTGTCTATAGACTCACCTTCTTCAGATGACTGCGGCGGGGCATGATTGTCATATTGTTGATACTGATGCGGAGGGAAACCCATAGATTGAACCGCTGATGCTCCTACTCCTACTCCTACTCCCGCTCCTGCCACTCCCGCTTGTGGTGGTGGGGGTATACTTATTTGAGGGCCACCAGGACCAAGGATATGTGGCGGAACTTGGTGAGGGTGTTGTTGTGACATAACTGAAGGATGAGGAGGTGGTGGAGGTGGAGGTGGAGGGGGGAACCCGCCTGCAGTAGCTGCTGCCGCTGCTGCAATGGCAGAAGCTGGGTCCATGCCCATAGACAATGCCGCTGCTACTTGCATTTGGGCAGCTTGTGCCACTTGCTGTTGTTGTCTTTGATACTTTTTATTATTCATTGATACTCTTCCCCAACTCAACCTCACTCTGTTGCCGCCTATTATGAATCCTTGCATTGCGGCAATTGTCCTCTCTGCCTCCTCTCTAGTTGAGTATTTGACAAATCCACAGTTTTTGCCCGGTGGAATCTTGATTTGTTGAATGACCCCAAACGGTTTAAACAATGTAAATAGGGTTGCCTCAGTAACCTCTGAAGATAATCCCCCAACAAATACAGTTGTGTTGTTTGGATCAGAATATTGAGGCAGTTGCAACTGCGGAGGCATCTGAGCTTGCTGTGGTGGAACTTGAAATGATTGGGACATATATGGCTGCCCTTCATGTTGCAGATCACGTAACAAGAAGCTGCCATCGAGTTCTTGTGGTAACTGGAAAGCACCGCCTGCTCTATCATTCCCCATTGGGTTATAGTATCCAAACAAGGGGCTCCCACCTAATTGGGTTTGGGGCGCGGGCGCTCCCGGAGGAATAAACATCATCTCGGGTGGTATATGTGCTGTTGATGCTGCTGCTGCTGCTGCTGCTGCTGCCGCAGTGGCTGGATCGGGACTATAATATGCGTTACCCACAAACGGATCATTGTTATCATAACTGCTACTGCTGTGGTTGTAATGGTTGCCGTTGTTGTTATTTCTGTTGCTGCTGTTGTTGCCTGCTCTATTATTGAACTTGCGATAATTGCCACTTCTAGGCGTAGCAAGTGCAACCCGTAATGGTCTTCCAGCAAACCAAACTCCATTCATTTCACTCAAAGCTCTTTGTCTCTCCAGCTCCTCAGTAAACCTAACAAACCCAAAACATCTTGATTTTCCCGATACCGGATCGGTCATAACTCTAACGGTTTTTATTGAATTTGGAAACTTTTTTTGGAAAAATGCCAACAAGTGGGCTTCGGTTGTAGATGCTGATAAATCACCAACAAATAAGGAATATTCCGGCATTTGAACAATGGGAGCACTTAAGGTTGCCCCACTAGCCCAATTCAACCGGAAGTATTTCTTTTGATTATCAGGGTTGTTGGGATATAGTTGTTGCGAAGGCATTGCCACGTCCGGTAACAATTGTCCATTCAACCCCAAAGCTTCCTGTGCGTCTTCAAAACTTTCAAACTCAACAAAACAGTAACCGGAGTTGGTCAACCCTTGCAATTGCGGATCAAGTTTCAATGTCTTTGGCTTGATAATCTTTACAACAACTTTCTTCTTCAACAAGTTCCACCAGAGATCGGTTATTTGCTGTTCGTCTAACCAGGAGTCCAAGTCACCCATCCATAATGTCCTAGGTTTGTCTGAGTTGGCGTCCTCATCTATCAGGTCTTGATGTTCGGTTGCTACCGCATTTGATTGTTGGGTGGATACAGGTGGGTTTGGCACAGTGTACTCAGAGAGTAGTTCTTGTTCTTGTTGGTGTTGGTGGCTGGCCGTGCTTGATACAGTATGCGGGTCCATTGTAGTTTTGGTTGTGCCGGCACTGCTGTTATTGCTGTTGCTGCTGCTGTTGCTGTTGCTGTTGCTGATGTGGTTGAATGATTCATCTTGTGTCATGGGAGGCGCGGTCGTGTAATTTATCGATTGCGGATCACCGCCAGTATTTGCATCAGCTGCAGCCTGATAACCATCTTGTGTTGGGGAAGTAGGCGCCATGGCGGGTATGCATATATTTCTGAGTCCCTTACTTCTTAACTGTTTCTGTTACAAATAAGATTATCTGGGGAGGAGAATTGTGTGGTGAGTTAAGGTTTTAAAAGTTTCACACGGGAAAGGGGAGTCTGTGTCTGTGTGTATGTGTGTCTGTACCTTAGTAAATTGCATTTGAACACCAATGCACGACAAAACTGTGTGTCTTCCGGTCTTTACCTTCTTTACTAACCGATACGCCCATACACATATACATTTGTACAGCCACCACTTTCAAAGGTCTCAAGATCAATGCCAGCACAGTGGGACAAGTGAATCCCCAGCAAAAGCCAAGCCCTACGTCCTTTCGTAGTGACGTATCTTTGATTCTGCTAATAACTTAGAAAAATCTCGCAATCTCAGCCTCCTCTCGCCTAAACGATGCACTGCTAGGGTAATCTCGACGCCAATCAGCACTTAAATAGTAAATCATTTGAGTTTATCCTTTACAAGTCACATCCGCATGGTGTACACTAACTCCAAAGTGGACGTCTTTTTTTCCTCTTTCCAAATACTTCACATCATTTACACAAAACGGAGAAACAAAAACTAGAAAATGTAAACAAAACAACATCCACAGAAAGATCAAGACTTTTTTTTTTTTTTTTACAACCACAAGATCACATTTTATTACTGATCCAACACAGTGATGAGAGGTAGCCAAATTATGGCTAGAAAGGGATCTGACATGAGTGGTCAGGTAGCGGAACTACAGGATAGCCGCCAACAAAGAGATACAACTCAGGATGTGAGGGACGACAATTCACCCCCAAACAAGTCGAATTTCGATGCAATTCATTCGACACAGAAGACGGGCAATATAAAACAACTGCAACTGCAACTGCAACTGCAACCACAACAATCCTTTCTCAATCCTCGACAACCATCAGTCTACCAAAAACGCGTTAGCTACATCCCAAATACAAACTTTTCAGGAAACAAAAGCTCACTCTTGATACAGGATAATGACGACTCCCCTCAACCTTCTGTTCCAAACACATTCCATTACAAGTCCCACCCTAACGCAAAGTCAAAAGAGCTAGGCGGCAGCATGCTTGCAGATGACGACCATCAAAACTCTGTGCATCACAATTCGCAAGCTTCTGGAGCTACGCCTCAATGGATGCCAGAAGTATTGGGGGACAAGTGGATTCAGTCTCTGGCCATTAACGAGCCCACCACCAATACTGGGCCCAGCACTTTGAACCGCAATATCAAGTCTATGGAGTTTCAACCTAGTAGTACAGTGATTCACAACTCCGACTTACAAATGAATGAAAATTTACCATGGAAACCAACAGCCGAAAGTCCCGCTGAGAAGAACTTGCGAGGTATATTCCAAAACTCAAAAGAGTTATCCACGAAAGAGGAATCGACGTCATCTGTAACATCTACTCCAATAGTAGGTACAACTGGACGACGGGCCTCACGTCTCCCAGTCGCATTCAGTTTAAACGAGTTAAAACCTCAGTCTCCATTGAAGTTGTACAATGATAATTACAACACATTCACAAGGAATAAGCTAGAGGGTGTGTTACAAAACATTGCGTCAAATAAAAACACTCCAGCTCAGGCAAATGACAGGCCTAGCAGGCCTAGCGCAAAAGGCAGTGTCTGGCAAAATCCCCCGTTGATTGAAAACGCACAAACGACCAATATACCTCCCAAATTGAGCATCAAAGACTTTACCAAATCAAGGGAATACACCTCCAGTGCATACAAGGCGAACGCAGACGATGTATTTTCCCGACTTATGAAGAAGGGCCCCAAAGGACACATTGAGCAATTGAGGAATGTATCGAAAGAGACTGCAACATCGACGCCCAAAAAGGTTAGTCCTGAATTTGCAGAGGAGAACCAGGAAACGCAATACTCGTCATTTAGTACTGGATATAACTCAGATGATAATAGTGCGCCTGTAGATGCTAATGCTCGGTCCCATCAAGTATCAGACGAGTTCACTTCTATTACGAATAATTCGGAAACCAAAAGCAAAAGTAAAGTAGAAATGAATGGGGGTGGCTCCGACATAACTTATGATTCACCCTCGGAGTTAGCAGAGGAGGTTGCAAACGTGCAAGGGCCCTTGTATACCCAAGATTTGACAAATTCACACACCTCGGAATGTACCCAGTCAAAGTCGTCACAAAATAGAGACACTAATCGTCTGGACCTGTTGGGAACACTGAGCATACACAGCGAAGAGAATGACTCTGTTGGCACGATTCAATTGAAATCGAGTTCCAAACTACGAGGCAAGTTCATCACCCCCCTCGTAAATGGCAAGGTAGAACCTGATATTAGTTTGTCTCAAGAGTATCCGGGAATGGTTTATGATCCTGTAAACCTCAAATGGATAAGCACCGGGCAACAGAATGTTACCTTGGATGATATAGCTGATTTAACAGATGATGAAGCTGAATTAACTGGAATTTTGAAAAAGAAAACCAACAAGGCAAGAAAGGGTAAGTTTGAAGTGTCATTTCAAGACCCAGATTCCTTTCACAGAGATGAGGGGCATCGTGATAGTGCTTTCGTTGCTGGCGATGTCACAAAGCTATCTCAGCTATTGGATACTTCGTTTTCTGAATCTAGAAGGAGGCTCGTCTCCACATTGACCGATGTATTGGAATCGGAATTGGAAGTGCTGTCATGGGAAGAGGTTGAGTGCATTGACTTGTCTCAACGCAAGTTGAGTTCCTTGGTCGACTTGTTTCAATTTTTACCAAAGTTGAGGAAATTGAATGCAGCAAGTAATGACATAAAATACTTAGCCGGTCTTCCAAGCAGTATCGTTGACCTTGATCTATCACACAATAAAGTTGAAGATAGGAGTTCATTCTCTGAATTGAGAGATTTACATCATCTCGTGCTCGAGCATAACCTATTGACAGAAACATTGAATCTTTGCAGAAACATCAATTTGACAGTGTTGGGGTTGTCGCATAATAATATTGATGACATCAGTGGTTTAAAAAGCTTATCCAACTTGTTTTACTTAGACTTGTCTTTCAACAAATTGCAGGTTTTGAATATGCATGATTTTGAGTTGCCGCATCTCCAGGAGTTGAATGTATCAAACAACTCAATCAGCGAAATAGATGGTATCGAGCACCTAATCTCATTGAGGATTTTAAATTGCAACAAAAACCAAATTGCAAAGGTAAACTTTACAAACACTAGCATGAGGAAGTTGTTGCTTAACCAAAATAAGTTGAGCTGTTTAGACCTCAGGGGTCTCAGGCAATTGTATTGTGTGAGATTTGACGGAAATTCGGTATCAAAGGTACATTTTCCTGCTGGTAACCATATTGAGCTGATATCGATGAAGTCACAGCCACATATGAGTCAGATTTGGGACAGCACTGCCCCGCAATGTGACCAATTGAGGCGTTTGGACCTATCGGGAAATCGGTTAATTCCAAGCACTGTTTTCCCATTTATCAGCGATTTAAACCTCTCAGCCGTGAACATGAGGCAATTGCCTCCTGATTTTGCACAGTTATTCCCAAATGTGCAATACTTGAACCTAAGTTTCAACAAATTGGAATCTATTGAACCATTGTCAGACTTGCAAAGGTTGAAGAAGTTGTGGCTTGTAAGTAACAGACTAACCAATGTTCGTCTCACAATGAAGCACCTCCAAAATTGCAAGCACGAGTTGGTGTTGCTTGACCAGCGGTTGAACTCTTTCACCAAGGTATTTTATGATTATGTTTTTACACCGAATGAAGCTGATTTTGAGATTGAATTAGCTACAGTTGACGATATAGAAGGTTTCACCGAGAGATTGGACGAATTGGATCGCACTCGTGAATGGGAGGATCGGGACGTGCTATTTCAAAGTGAATTGGGAAGAAGGGGGAATTTGAGTACAATCAATGAGAGAAACGTTTATCAAAGCTCAGTGGTATTGTTTTTCAAACACTTGAAAAGCCTTGATGGGATAACAATCTCCAATGCGTTTCGAGAAGCTGCCTATCAGTTGCGCAAGAAGATTCGTTCTAGAAAGAGTATATAGATAACTACACATAAACAAAAGGCGTTGGGTGATGGAAGATCAATTCGTCGTAGTCACAAGGATATAATCAAACAAGTGTATAACTGTGGCTGTGATAATACTTGCCACCATAGCTAATGACTTCTGTACCGTAATGGAGACTGCCTTTTTTAATTAAGCTACACAAATTGAACGCCAGTAATGACTCAACTGTAGAATCCCCCATTCTCATCACTGCTTATCAAATTGCGCTTGAGCCTCATTATCTGTGTACAACAATAAAAGAACAAATGGTTTTAAAAAAAAAAAAAAAAAAAGATTAAAAAAATTAAAGAAAATAAAGAAATAAAAAAAATTGAAAAGAGAAATTAAGGAGGAAAACAGAAAAAAAATACAAAATACAAAAGTTTCATCAATTGACAAGAAATTCTTTGCTATCAGAAAAAATAAAAAAAAATTGGAATCCATCTTAACAACATATTGCAAAGATGAATGGTGAGGGATGGTATGTGATTTAATCAAGGAGAGACACAGGTTTGTTGTTTCTGTCCTGTTGAGCACTGGACTAACAATTCCCGAAATACAGGTTATTTATACTTGCGGTTGTCGTGAATGCCGTCAATTTGTTCTCGCAGGTCTTTTTCACAATCATGTACTCCGATTTAGAGTGTGATTATATCAACCCTATTGAGTTATGTAACAAGTTGAACCCTTGGTTTATTCCCGAGGCTGGTTTGCATGCATTCATTGCGTTGTTGTTTTTAGTCAATGGGTACTGGTTCTGCTTCTTGCTCAACTTGCCATTGTTGGCCTATAATGTCAACAAGTTTTACACCAAGAACCATTTGTTGGATGCAACCGAGATATTCAGAACGTTGTCAAAGCATAAAAAGGAGAGTTTCCTTAAATTGGGGTTCCATTTGGTGATGTTTTTCTTTTACTTGTATAGAATGATTATGGCATTGGTCAAGGATGACAATTAATCCAGCGGAGGCAAAAGGAGAGGAAGTGCTGTTCCAGCTTATTGGAAGTTTGGAGAGAGAGAGAGAGGGAAGGGGGGGGAGAAGAGTGGAGTGTCCACTTTACTAAGTGGAGCATGTTTTACAAATTTGTACTAATACATCACACGTTTATTGTACCAGACATAACATAGTGTTTCTATCTAACTGTAGCTAAACAGTTGGCAATTTGGCCTCTTTCTGTTTCAACTTTCCATTTATCTGTCTCAATTTCGCAACGACCCCTATTTTGGGGCTGAGTACACCCTTCAATGTAGACAACAGACGCACCACAGTCTCCAGAGTGCTTGTTTTAGAAGGAGCGTCACCTTTCATCTCGCGTTTCAAAGTTTCTATCCGCTCATAAATCGATTTCGTCCACTCGTATTCCTGCCTTGTCCTATTTTTGGTCTCCACAAACTCTTGCATTTGCATTGCTACGTTCTTACTTTGGTCCTTCACCGCCAATATCCTCTGTCTAAGTTGGTCCTTTTCTTTTTGGATCTTTGAAATCGATTCCGAAGTTTTTTTGAGTTGCGCTGTCCTGTCTCGTAGCTCTTCAATCGCATTCAAAACGTGGAGCTTGAATTCATCGGAATAAGGAGTGGCGACTTCAAAATTCTCAATTAAGCTTTGCAAAACCTTGAAAAAGTCCATTTCCTGTTTGCCGCGGAGTTGCACAGCTCCCTTTTCCCTTGCGGAGGTCGTCCCAACTTTCGAAATGATATCGTCTGGTCCAAGTACAAGAGGAACTGCAGGCTTGATACGCGATTGTGAGTCCTCATGACTCAAATCAGGTATTTCTTTTAACACTGTAGTTACTTCATTCGAGGTGTCGCTTTCAGGTGACAATTTCTTCTCTGGCTCTTCCAATGTACGTCGCTTCCTGCCGCCTGCCCTTTTCTTTTTGGGACGTCCTCTTTTTCGTTTCTGTGGAGTTGCTTGAGCCAGAACATCAACATGTACGCTCAGCTCTTTTTGAGGGAGCTCTATCTCAGGTGGATTATCTGCAATATCACTCAGCGAATTTGGCGGTTGCTCTTCCACGATTTCCAATTTTTGAGCCTGTATCACTCGCTTGCTTTGAAGTTTGTTAGTACACAATCATGAAAAAATGTAAAAACCACTAAAGCATACCCTGACCCTCTAATCCTTGCTTGTCGCTGAATCTGTCTCTCTTGGGTGTCAAATTTGTTCATACTGGGGAGAACAGCTGAAGCGAAACCGCGCTTTGCACTACAAAGTTGGAAATTATTACTTCCAAAACATCTAATTTTATTATTTTTTTATTAAACAGGGTATAACTAAAACAAACTATAAAAATGCCACAAGGTAACTCATGCACATGTGCATTGCAACGATAAAGAATGATAAAGATGACGCAGCTTTAATACCGTGTCCGGTATAAGGAGTCGTTGATCCTGTAGTTGTAGGTCCAGCAAATGTAGTAGTTGAAGATGACGTTGGTGCAGCGGATGTGATCAAAGGCGCTGAGGTGGGCGCACTGCTTGTTTCCGTTTCTGTTGGATAGCTGTAAGCATTGTTGTTGCTGTTGCTGTAAGCGCTGCTGCTGTTGCCACCACTGTTGGCAGGACTACCCCAACCGATTATGTTAATACCACCACCTCTGGTGGATGTGGTCACAGTTGACGGTGTTGTAGTTGCCTGTGTGCTTCCTGTTCTGGATTCACCAGCAATACTGGAATTGTTGCGCTGGGTACTCGAGGAGATGGCAGAGCTTGTGGAGTTGTGCGCGCTGGTCGAGCTGGTCGAGCTATGTGCCCCGGTCGAATTGGATGAGTTTGTGGAGTTGGATGAGCCGTTCAGGCCGGTGAATGCTGAAACTTGAGGCGCGTCCTCAGCAGTACCTGTCCAGCAGTATTCCTGGAAACACTTGGCGCACTCTTCGCTTGGTTGTTCACCCAATCTCTCTTGTTGTCTTCTGATTATAGCACAGCCCACACAAGTGGCCCAATTGGAGTCCTCGGTCAAGTTTCCTCTTGATACGACCTCATAACCGTTTCTGATGGTTCCTGTTTTCTCTGCATTGTCGTAGGCCAATTTGAAAGTGGAAAAGTTTGACAAGTACGATTCATGATGGTTGGAAATGTACACAACCAATGGAACATCAGTTTCATTCAAATCCTTTTTATCGTGAAATTTAACAATATCCGACAAGTCTGATGCATTACATCCAAAAAACAATGGTTTCTCTTTTAAATCATCTTTCAAGTATGTGTCAACTGTTGGCACATAAGGGAATGGTGTTCCCTTACCTTGATCGCTGAATTGCCATTTATAAGTATCCACAAACGAAGTTCCGTTGGGCCAATTCTCCTTGGTGTCAGCACTATTGTCAAAAGCAAAGATAACGTCAACATTCCTGTCGGGCTGAATCAATGGATAAAATGGGACGTTTTGACCATTGTCACCACCATCAACCAATGACAATGTATTATTGTTGACAGCTTTATCTATTTGGGCATCTGACCACTCGTAGAATGGATTAGGATCGTAGATTGCCACATCGTCCTTCGAGTCGCTCACTTCGTTCATCAACTGGTCAAAGATTGGCCTAAGAATGGTACTCACATCGTAATTATTCAATTGCGAAAATACTGAATTGAACACTGAGGAGGAGGTGCCCATGACGAAACCTGCATTATCATAATTTCTAACACATTGGTGTGCATCTCCATCTTGAATGCTCGATCCCAAATACTCAGTATTGACAAATCCGTTCAAAGCATCAAAATTTCCTAACTCAAATGGTGAGATTTCAACAACAAATGTAGTGTTTGGATTGATCACCTCTGCTTGGATGGTTTTACCATCTGCAACCAATATTGGAAACGGCATTGAATAATCTTCGAAGCTGGTCAAGTTACGTACACTCGACCAAGTAAGATTGGCTCCACCACTAGAGTCGTCCAAGAGTTGGTGACTCAAAGCTCTACCCCAAATATCTGTAACGGATGTGTTGAAACCAGCTCTGTTCTTACTCACAATAGAAGTTCCAACACCAGTGTAAAACTTTGCAATCGACACCAAGTCGCCAGCATTTGGATCCAAGATGGAAGTTTCGAGATCCCATATTTGCGAAGACCCATTCAAAATGTTTTCAACTGAAATCCAATTGTTCAAAACTAATGTACCAACCAACCAAGATCCACCCGAAAGTCCCACCAAGTATGTCGATGATTGAAGAAGACCTCCCAACGCATTGGTATTTGAATCTTCAAACCTGTCATCAAGAGCCAAGACTGAGCCAGCACCCGCCAACATTGCCCTGTATCCACCACCCGAGAAAGCCAAGCCAATGGTTATGTTATGTTCATCTGAATTCTCATTGATAAAAGACTCCGCATCGAAATCACTCAAGTTGGCCCTATTGTTCAAAAAACTAATCAAAAACTTGTTTGTTTGTTCCTGTTTTGCCTCGACATAATTCTTTTCATTGTCGGACAATCCGTCAGCCTTACGCACGAGAGCAGTTTCCGGACACGTAATGTTCACTGGTGAATAGGGATTTGCAACACCATCGCCGTCGGAGTTTGTTTGGGTTTCATCAGTAGACTGAGCTTGAGATGATGAGCCTCTGCTAGATGACGATCCGTACAAACCACCTAACCAACCTTCTATTCCCCCTTGAGAGCTTGTAGATGATCTTGACGAAGTGACAGACGCGGATTGTGAAGCGCCTCGTCCTGTTTGGGAAGTGGCTGAAGGTGCTGAGGTGCTGCTAGCTTGAGAAGAGCTTGTCAAAGCGCCAAAGATACCTGCATACCAAGGTTGACTTGAGGACGAAGATGAGGATGAGCTAGTGGTGACAGCTTGTGCTGCTGAGCTCGTTGGTGAAGTTTGTTGCAGTTCTGTTGATGAGGACTGAGCTGAAGTACTAGTGGCTGCTCCAAAGATTCCCTCCCACCATGGTGTTGAAGGTGTTGCGCCCAATGTGTTTTCCTCTTGTTCAAATGGCCACACCGCTAATGCAGTAGCGAGTAAGTAGAAGTATAGTAGAAAGAATCGTTGCATATTTGGCTTTTGCTGGCAGTACAGCTTGAAACGTAAATGCCAGTCAGACTTGCATTACTATATATACATTTGGTACCTTAGCCCACTCCATTGGAATTCTCTAAGTACGGTTACCTTCTTTCTAAACTTTTCATTACCCCATTTAGGGAATTAATCGATGATTGCTCTTTGTTGAAGTGTACACAAACTGCATGTGTTCTTAAATTTTTTGGTGCGGAGTTTGTACTTTGGAGTAGGTTCCTTCTCTGCATTTACGTCTGACACCGATTACGATAATAATTGCTATGAAACAGTCAAGTGCAAGTTGGTCTTGCGGAGCTGCTCTAACGATATAGCATTTACACGCTTATGCAGGTCTACAGTGTGGGGTGGGGTGCTGGTGCTGGTGGGTGCGGATGGTGCAAACTGCTGCAGCCTCGACACTTGTCCTGCAATCAAGTGAGGGTACGATTGCTCCTAAAGCCCAACTTTACACTCAAAGTAATGTGCCACAAGTTGATGGTTAGACTAAATCTTCTAAAGCCTTTTCATGACAAGAGGCTGAATTTTAAAAGAGAGCCGTTACAAAAGGTTGCAACAGTGAAATTTTCCTAGTTAGGAAAGAAAAAATATAAATTTGCACATTTGTGCTACATTTCAAATCAGACACATTTAAGGTCTAGAACAAGTCAGGGAATAGCTTGTATAAGTGCAGGGGCTACTCTATCGACTTCGACTAGATGAACATGGAGGCATGTGAAGATTTGATTTGAAACGACCCGGATTACTGGGCATGGAACACGGTCATGATGAGTCGCAGTAACAATGTGTTCCAACGCTGCCTTTCAAGGTTCAACCACCAAACTCTCTTACTCACTGCTATCTCAATCGATAGAACCACTCTACAACACATGCAGTTTGAAATCAATAAATTTACAATTTATAAGCTACTATAAATCTATTGAGAGAAACTTTCCAACAAAATGTTTCTTTCGTCAGAGTCTTGTCCCCAGTTCTTGATGACAACACATGAAGCGCCGACAACCTTTCTGGCGTTTCCATCTTGGTCCAATTTGCACAAACCAGCCCATTCACCGAGAAGCTTGGCGTCAGAAACCTTGATAAGTGGAATCTTCTCTTCTGGTTCGTTACAGAGAGCTTCGATCAACTTAATGATAGCTTCCTCGGTAACTGAATCACAAAGGACACAGAGTTGAGCTTCACGCTTGGACAAAGCTCTTGAAGCTTCACGCAAACCTCTAGCAAGACCATCGTGGACCAAGGAGTTTCTCAAAACAACCTTCAAAGCATCTTCAATTGAAACTGATGATTCAGCAACAACTTGTTGTTCGGTTTCAACTTCAACTTCGATATCAGACATTGTTAATTTCTTTTGATAGTTTTATGTGATAAATACTGCTCTGAACCTTTTCCGTAACGGTGGGTCTTCGTCGTCAAGTTTTATCTTAATCGAACAAGAGAAGGGCAAAAACATGTAAGAAGTTGGAAGCCCTTCTCTGCAGTAATTTTTCAAAGTAATGCGCGCGGGAGAGACAACGAAAAAGAAAAAAAAAAAAAAAAAAAAAAAGAAAAAAAAAGGTAGCGGAGG